ATAAAATGTTTGGTTTCGAATCGCTTACTAATCACATGCATGCATTTTTTATATTTTATTTTATTTTTATAAAGATGACAATGTAATTGGGTTAAAGCATTAAATGTAATATTTAATGATGTGGGCCATTGAATTAATTTAGGTGAATTGGAAAAATCTCCAATATAAGTCCATATGTTGATAAGCTCATTTTAAGTGTTTTATATATGGAAAGGAATCCCACATCGAAAGTTTACAAGAAAATAGTCTTGTTTATATAGTGAGTTGTGTGAATAATATATAATTTAATAAGTTACCTACCACTTGGCTAATTTTAGCTAGCCAAAGACTAGCAAACTAGCCAAAGGCTAGTCAACACTAGAGTGGTGCTTCACACCACTCGCGCCGCTCCCCGGACCCGGACCCGGTCCCAGCACGCGCACGTCGCAAAGTACGCATTGAGCGCTTTAGAGGCGCACTTCGCACGTACGCATTGTCACGAGGAGTTGGGGAGCCTTATAGTTTTCGGAAATGGACTTGTGGTTCGATGACGTAGCAGCACAAGGCTCGACGAGTTGGCATTCTAAGTGGGGCACGTGTGGTAGGTCGCATCCCTTCGTCCTGCGTGGTAGTTAGATGTACACGTGGCATCCGCATGGCTGTGACTGTTCAGAAATTGGTGAATAGGCATGATGAATGGACACTTCACTTCATAGTTCAATTTGGGCCGTCAGATCATGAAAATAGTGCAATCCAATGACTAAGACGAATCAGACCAAGTGGTGCACCAGTTCCTGAAATGTCACACACCTGTTCCATGAGACATTTCAATCTCTATAAATAGAGACTCCCATATTCATTTTTTACATACCAAATCAATTACGAATTCAATTGATTTCTAAATTCTTCTCTCTCCATATTCTGCTCTAAAAATTCTCTTATATTTTCGTGGTTATTTTGCGTTGTATCTTGGGAGACAGACGTCCATAATCCCGTTTGCACTTCATTGAGGGGCGAAATCTGTCTTGAGAAAATTTGCTTTGGCATACCTCGCTTCATCTACTGTTTTCTATTTTTCTGCTTATTTTATTTGTTCTTTTGATTGCGTTAGTCGAATTTCCGACAACAATTCCGACTAAAGTACTAGTTTTATGATGAATCTACACAACAATTCCAAACTCTATTCAAAACATTACTCTAAACTCATCTTTAAGATCTCGAGTCGTCTCGGTAAATATAAATGTGACACCGAGAGAGCAAATAAGTGTCTTCGATAAAGTTGATGCGCTAAGTATCAAAATATATTTTGACTTAAACCAGTTCGACCATATAGACTAACCTACTTGAGGCCATAGCAACCCAACACGGCCTTGTCCACCTCGAAGTTGGCCCGCCAAAGGCATACTTTACCACTATAATATGAACAAAATAGGCCTGTATGTCAAATCATTACCCGAAATCACCCTTTATAAATGAAATCATTTGTATCCACCTAATTACTTGGTCCAAACTCGAATATCTAATAACATATTTTTTAAAATATCATTAGTTAACAATACAAATTATTTTCTCAATATTTAGTAGACATAGAAAAATAAAAGATGACACAAAATATACATTTCAACACTTAGTAGCTTAACAGGTGGTGCCTCAATAAGGGTTTGTAGGGTGGACAACTCGTCAAGTGCAGTTACGAATCAGGGTGATACGATTCATTTTTTAAAATAAATGAACTTGATTTATTAATTTTCTTACTACTAGAATATCGTAACTTACCATTTGGTGGGAAAGGTAGCTTATTGAGCCCAACTAATTTGTGCCACGTCAAGCTTCGACCTTTTGTAGATAGGTTGATATATGACAACATGGTACTTCTTCAGTTTTATTTAAGGGTGGACAACTCGTCAAGTGCAGTTACGAATCAGGGTGATACGATTCATTTTTTAAAATAAATGAACTTGATTTATTAATTTTCTTACTACTAGAATATCGTAACTTACCATTTGGTGGGAAAGGTAGCTTATTGAGCCCAACTAATTTGTGCCACGTCAAGCTTCGACCTTTTGTAGATAGGTTGATATATGACAACATGGTACTTCTTCAGTTTTATTTAAATACTGTTTGGCCCCCATTACCTGAAAATGGTAATGGGGGGAATAGTATTTTTTAGAAAAATGAGTGGTTGAAAAAGAAAGTAAAGTTTTCGATTTACGTGTAATATTATTTTATAGAAGATTGTATGGTTGAAAATAGGAGAGAGAAAAATGAAATGTAATGTAATGTAATTTAATGTTAATCAAACAGGGGCTTAAATAGATGGACTTTCTTTATTTTACTGTCTCTATTGAAAAAGTATTTGTTTTATTCATTTATTAATAAAAAGTCCTTAGAAAAATTATTGTTAATTGATCGAAGTGAGAAGTAAAAATATTCTGATAAAGACGTTCTTCGATAATATCATCACGACTCTTGAAATCATGTACAGTAGCTATACCAAATCAGAGACGAAAAGTAGGCCTTTCCTACACAGTTTAGGTGGAAGGCAAAGAAGGCCTCTTTCTCGGGGCCGAGCCACTAGTGAGGTACCATTCTGGAAGAGTTAGAATTCCATACTTCTATTTAATTTATCTACTTGAAATCAATTCCTCCCATTTAATCTTGTATTTATACAAAATTTAATTTCCGTTCTTGTAATTATCCAAATACATACATACATTTCCCACTTCTTTTTGAAAACATGGACAAAAACACATTTGATCACAATTATTTACTACTAGTTATTGATAATTAGATAAGGGTAGACTAGGAAAATTCATTGCAAAAAATTCATTTTTCAATAGCATTAAATAAAATTTCTTAATTTGTGTGAATAACAAAATTATCTTATATAAATGAGATGGGGTGAATATGAATTATTAAAATTATTTACGGTTATTAAAACTCTATTAAACTGGAAACTAAAGTAGGCTTATTTTACATTAATAATGCGATTAATCATTGGGTAATTTTATTCACATCACAATATTTATTTTTTGCACCACGTTTTAATTGCATTTAAGATTATTAATTTTTACTCACTATAGAACTATGTCCCTAAATATTTTTTTTATGTCATTCTCAGACTCAAACTTTTCACTAGTTAACACATTTTATATTTTATAACAGTTTTAAATCTGAAAATTTGTTGAAATGACATAAAACAACTTATTTTTCATCGTATTTTTAAAAATAGGTTAATTTCACAAACAGTCACTGAACTTACCTGATAATTACAAAACGGTCACTGAAGTTTAAAACTTGCAGAAATTGTCACTGAAATTTACAAACTTGTAGAAACGATCATCCAGATTTTTCAGATTTTTGGGCGAGTTTTGTGGCAATTTTTCGGCAACGTCCGACCACCAAGACGGTCGGATTTGGATACCGTTGGAAAGTTCACAATGTCCTATTCAATTATCATCCAAAATCTCCCTATAACTCCAAATGATTAAGCTAGAATAAGCCCACAAAGTTAGCTCCCAGAAATCTGAAAATCTATCCAGATTTTTGGGCGAGTTTTGCGGCTTTCGACAACTTCTGACAACTAAGACTATTGAATTTGGATACTTTGGAAAGCTCACAATGTCATTTTCAATCACCACCCAAAATCTCCCTATAACTCCAAAGGATTCGACCGGAATAAACTCACATTTAGCTCCCCAAAATCTCACCTAAAAATTTGAAAATTTTGGGCTGATTTTCAGATTTCGAAGAGCTGATTTTGTGGATTTATTTCGGTTGAATCTTTTGGAGTTGGGGAGAAATTTTGGGTGATAATTGAAGAGAATATTGTGGGGTTTCCAATGGTATTTAAATCCGACGGTCTTCTTAGCAGAAGTTGTTGAAAAATTGCCGTAAACCTCGCTCAAAAATCTGAAAAATCTGGGCAAAATTTCAGATTTCGGGAAGTTGACTATGTAGGTTTATTTTGGCCGAATCCTTTGGATTTATGTGGATATTTTTTGTGGTAATTGAGTAGAACATTGTAGACTCTCCAACGGTATCCAAATCCGTTGATCTTTGGGGTCAGAAATTGCCGAAAAATTACTGCAAAACTAGTCCAAATATCTGAAAAATCCATGTGACCGTTTCTATAAGTTTGTAAACTTCAGTAATCGTTTCTAAAAGCGCTCTAAGCTTTAGTGACGTTTCTGCAAGTTTTAAACTTAAACGTTTTGTAATTTTCAGGTAAGTTATATATTTTTCCCCATTTCAAAGAATGAAAACAAAATATTTTGATATAAATCATCATCAAGAATTAGATATGCTAATTAATGAAAGACTGAAGATAAAAATTTGACAGAAAAAAGTAAAAGAAATAAGGGTGCATTTTATTGCCAATATTTTCCATGAAAAATATATTTTTTTACTCAAATTCCTACTTTTGTATTGTTTGACTGACTTTTTTTTCATTGAAAACATTTTTCTACGTTTCGTCACGTGACCATTTTTTTTCAAAATTTAGGAAAATATTTTCTTTAGGAGAGTATGATTCTATTTTTCAGATAATTCGCTCTTTCTCTCTCTCTCTCTCTCTCTCTCTCTCATTTATCCACTTTCATTTACCTACTATTAAAAATCGAACAAGTATATTATTTTTAAAGTTGAAAATTAAATCGATCAAACACATTTAATCAATAATTTCCATACAAATAAATTTTAGGTAATTGAATTATCTAGAATTTATTTTCTTTTTATATAAATTTTATGCTTGCAATCAGACACACCATAATTGTTATAATGAGTAGTGATTAAGAAGTTTAATTATAATTAAAATACAGCGTATCAAATAATTCATCATGATCACCACAGATAAATGAATAGCATTATTCAGTTCACATTTCTACCCTGTTCTTTCTCTTTGGATTCCAATTATTTGTGGGTCAACAATCTAATCGCAAACGCGGAGAATGACGCGCGACTTTAGTTCAGACTGCAGAAAATTGGAGCGAATGACAGGAGAGAGTAAAATAGCCAAACCTCAGAAAAACTTTCTGCGCTGCTTCTCAAACTGTTAACAAAAGAATGCGATTTTTTTTTTCCAGCACTAAAAGCAACAAACAGACAATTTTCCTCTATAAACGAACAAAAGTGAAAGGGATAGTTAATCATAATTTACCTTTTCCCGATTAAATAAAGTAGCTGAAAAGGAGAAGCAAAAAAGGAAGAATCCCAGATCTCTTTACAGGGTCTTTTCTCCTTGTATTGATTCAAGAAACCCCATGTTTCCCAGATTGATTCAACCCCGAGAAGCTATTTTAAGCCAAGAAAACATTCAGGGGCCTAATATTAGTGGTGGGTTTAGCCAAAGGGCTGCTGCGGGGGACCCATGTTTGGTCCTTACTTCTGACCCAAAACCTCGCCTGAGATGGACAGCTGACCTCCATGAACGCTTTGTTGATGCTGTTACTCAACTTGGTGGCGCCAGCAGTTAGTATCACTTTCCCATTTTTCTTCTTTGTGTTTTGTATTTAGTATCTTTTCCCAATCGGTGCTCCCCTACCCCGCGATTTCTATCGTGAACTAGAATTGATGATTTATTGATCGGCCTGGGCTCTAATTGTTTTAATGTCGTTTTGTTAACTATGTGTTTCTGGGGTGTTAATTGTTGAATACAAACGGCTGACCATATGCGCAGTAAATCCTAGTTACCTACTTAGATATGGAGCAGATGATGGATTTATTTAGATATGGAGCAGATGATGAATTTATAATGGTATTGGGACACCGGATACCCAGTTAATAGGTTCACCGTTTGGGATGGTTGCTCAAATCTTAGCACAAACAAGTTGGATTTGAGCATCCGTTGGAGAAGCGAAAGTAGAATTTTGTTACTAGGGTTCCATCCTAATTCCTACATAGTTAACAAAAAGCCAAAATCGCGAGCATTATGCATTGGAAAGTACGATAGCTACATCTGTGTTTATAACATGAAGCTTTACGGCTGGATCACGAGATTCTCTCTCGGAAACTAATTAAACAATGTAAAAATTGAATACCATGTATATTTCTAGAAGGAAAATTCTACTTGTACATAATTATTGCACACAATGGTGTCCATAATGTGACGTGACAATCATCCGGTTGTTCATGTGCAAGTATGAGATTTGAATTAAAGGTTGGATCCAATGTTACGTGTAATTATGGACGCCATTATGTAGACAATTATGTACATGTAACACTTCCTTTTTTAGAATAATGCCCTTCATAATGAGGACTGCCGATAGTCTTCATACATGGTATATAAGTGGCAGTTTGTTATTTTATGCACTAATGTTAGGGGTGGACGCCAAACCATAAACCAATGATTTTTTTTTTTTTTTAAATAATGGAATCAAATCATATATATATATATATATATATTTTTTTTTTTAAAACATGGAACCATTTGGTTCAGGTTTGGTTCGAGTTTCATTACTGATTTAGAAAAAAAAAAAGAGAGAGAACATTTGAGGAAGAAGAACCAAAGGTTGAGGCTTCAATTTTAGAAATCCATGTGACAGTTGTGGATGAGCTCAACGGTAGACGACGGATGGTACTTCTTGGTCTCTCGTGAGAGAGTCGGTGTATGAATTAAAAATGAGAGAAAATGAGAAATGAATTAGGGTTTGGGTCTCCAAAATAAATTTGGGTTTCCAGTCTCCATATTGAGAAATAAAAAACCAAAAGTACATGATCCTTTTGTGTTGATTTTCAATCGAATTTTAAATTTTTTGGTGTGAATTGTGATTCATTAATTTGTATATTGGCCCTTGTTTGATTCTTATTATTTTCAAAATATATTTTTTGTCTTCTTTTCAACCACACATTTTTAAATAAAATAATACTAAAGGTAAATTCAAAATTTTTTTTCATTACCACACATTTTCCATCAATCTATTATTTTAAAATGTATTTTTCACAATAAAATAGGACTCAAACAAGCACTCTCTCTCTCTCTCTCTCTCTCTCTCTATATATATATATATATTGAGTCGGTTCTTGGTTCTAGAACTAGAACCAAATAGTTATCAGTTCTAAGAACTAGAGCCATTATTTTTTTCTGTAGAAACGAACCGAACTGAACCGAACCGAATCGCTCTATCCCTAACTAGTGTGTTAGTTTTTTATTGTCTCATGTATTAAATAACAAATTGTTACATACTCACATGTATGCCATGTAAGACAAGTATCAGTAGACCCCATTATGAATAGCATTACTCGGAAAGAATTTGGCTATTGCTTCAAGGAATCAAAAAGTGTAAGATGATTTTTATAGTTATTTATATTAAAAACCCTCGGTCTAGTTGGCACAAAACATCAAACTGTTTGGGATCACTATTTTTTTTTTTATTCATTCTCTGAAAACTTCAAACAAAAATGGATATCATTGTTAAGATGGAGCATTTTTAATGGAATTGAATAATGGTGAAGACTAAGAAAAAACTCTCAAAGTATAATAAATCATTATGATATACAACATCCAACACCCCTAAAGCAACTCTATTAGCTAGTTTTGGCACCTATCATCTGGATTGGGCTGCTAGTTTCTGGAAACACAACATCCAACATCCCTAAAGCAACTCTATTAGCTAGTTTTGGCACCTATCATCTGGATTGGGCTGCTAGTTTCTGGAAACACAACATCCAACATCCCTAAAGCAACTCTATTAGCTAGTTTTGGCACCTATCATCTGGATTGGGCTGCTAGTTTCTGGAAACACAACATCCAACATCCCTAAAGCAACTCTATTAGCTAGTTTTGGCACCTATCATCTGGATTGGGCTGCTAGTTTCTGGAAACCGGGAAGGTTGAAAACACATTCTTGCAATAGCGTCCCCTCCCCCCATCCCCCACAAAAAGGAAAAGGAAAAATAAATAACACCAAAAATTAGAAAAGGAAAAAAAGACTGTTACTTTTGTATGTACATGTTACACAACTCAAAAGAATATAAAACTAAAAAAGTTGCTAAACTTCTGAGCTACATTAAGGGCCGTTAAATTGAACCAAGTCACTCCATTAAATTGCAGAAATAATTGATGGCACTTAAAAGATGGTTCACCGTTGGTTGATCTGAAAAGTTATAAATTTAGCAGTTCATAGATCCTGGGTAATGCAAGGGAAGCTATTAAATAACTTCTAAGCATAATGAATGGCTTCTTCGGCCAATCTCTTCAAGATGAAAAAATCATGCGCTGGTTGAGCATGCTGCTAGTGCTCATCTTATCAGCAAGTTTGTCCTCAATCCCTCCTCACTGAGGATGTATTATTACTAATTCCTGCTAGCTTTCTTATTGATAAATTTGTATCAATTTCTTTGAAACCCATATCTCTAGATCATGAAACTGATCTTTTGATGAGACTGGCAGCTACTATTCTTTGAAATTTCATTGTTATATTTCTTTTAACGTTAACTTTCACTTATTCGATAAAAACTAATTATTTTTTAGAGAAACTTGAAATAATAGGTTTCTCATCCTGATAGACTATTATCGGGAATTTCTATCTGAAACTTCACAGATAAAGAATTTTCCAAATAGAATTTACTATAGTTTAGATTACATTCAGACGAATTCTATTGCAGAAGCTACCCCAAAGGCCATAATGCGAACAATGGGTGTTAAGGGATTGACTCTCTTTCATTTGAAGAGTCACCTCCAGGTATTTTTTCCTTCTTTCTTTTAATATTATTTGGTTTTTCCTCCCAATTGATTTATATACAGAGCTTGCAGGTCAGTGAAACTGGTTTCCAGTTGTTTGACAAGATTTTTTCGTGCATCTATACAGAAATATAGACTAGGTAAGCAATCTGGGAAAGATTTTGGTGACTCTCCAAAAGAAGGTAGGTTCAGTATGACTTCCAATGGTGGCCTCCAGTTGTGCAACTCTCTCTTAAGTATTTAGTCTTTCCAAATTAGCTGTGACATGATATTGTATTCAGTTGTATTGACTTTTTACGAAGAGGTGTTATAGACTTTAGGTTGATGTAGCTGTGTCTGAATATTGCCTCCCCCATAAAGGAGAGAGAAAAATGAAACTTGAGAAAATTCAATGAAGTTATTGAACTATCCTATCTGCCCTGACTAAAACAAAAAGAAGAAGGAAAAATTAGAAAGGGAAGCAAACATATTGACACGAGAGGAATTTCTTCTGTTGAGTTAGCCAAAAATGACATCCAAATTGATTATTCTATCTGAAGATATATATATATAATCTAGATTTGGATTTCTATTTTGAACTGACTTCTTTACTTGGCAAATGAAAGGACTGTCGGGTTCATACCTTTTGGGTAGCCCTTGTGCCAGCAATCCTCAAAACTTGCCAGCTTCCGACGTAATTGAGTAAGAGATTTTGTTCTTGTTCCGAAATTCCATATCACATGAATATGTCAACACAATGGTTAAAACTTGGATGATGTGTCTAGGGGTTATGAAGTCAAGGAAGCATTGAGAGCTCAGATGGAAGTTCAAAGTAAACTGCACCTGCAAGTTGAAGTAAGTTTTCCATCAGTAGACCTTTCTATAACCAGAAGAAGTTGACTTTCTGATCTGTTTTTAAAATTGTAGATTCTAGTGTTGATTTATGTGTTCAATTAAACCTTTAATTTTATCTAATGCACACTTGGTATGCAATACTCGATTTGACTAGTATAAGAACACGATTTCAGCTTCTATCTTTTCCATGATATTGTCCAGTATTAGCCAATCCTGGTTACTTAACATGCCATTAGCAGAAGGGAAATAGTGATAAGGTGAAAATGATTGCTGTATCCACCTAAGGTTTGGAAGTTTTAATCCAGAAATGCCCTTGAGGGTTTTCACAAAATCGCCTCGAAATCTGTGCTTCTGTTGGCTGATTTGGTTTAACTTGTTTACACAGGCTGAAAAGCATTTGCAGATTCGGCAGGATGCTGAGAAAAGGTACATGGCTATGTTGGAAAGAGCCTGCAAGATGCTTGCTGATCAAATTATTGGAGATACAAACAATGATGCGGAGAATTTTCCTGAAAAAGGAACGAAGACACAACCTAGAACTCTGCGTAATCCGTTTGGATCATACAGTTCACAATCTGCTGATGAGTTGGGTACCCATGGCCCAGAAGTAGTATCTCCTAGATTTCATCAGCAGCGTGCTGATTGTTCAACTGAAAGCTGCCTTACGTCTCATGAGAGTCCTATAGGCTTACCCGTTGATGGGTCTTCACCTGGAGGAAAGAAACGAGTGCTGAACATGGATTCAACAAATGCACCTCTCATGTGGGGTGACTCTGATTTGCGTACCCCGGATTTGCATGCGGTACAAGTTAATTCCTGTGGCATTACCGGGTATGGTGTATAAAAATTTAATCGTTGTGACTGACCCTGATCGCTTCTGGACTGTGAAAAGGGAAGAAACACGGTAAACTTTACTCCTCGCGAGCTATATATTTTAAAGCTGCTGATGTTTTAAGAGTTAAGATCGGATTTCTCTCTATATTCACTGTTCCATTTATTTCTATCAGTGCACACAATATCTTCTCCATTATTGCCATATCTCTTTTAATTTGCAGAATTGTCCAATTGTTTTCATCCTCGTTAGACTGATGCTTAAATAGAGTTGGTAGTCACTTAGAATGTGCTGAATTTGAAGGTAGGAAGTATGCATACGAACAAGTTAAACCAAGTCATGTTTTCTCTCCTAGTGCTGCATCATGTGGGCCCTTCTTGTAAATTTTGTTGAACTTTGTGGGGCCCCAATCATATTGCATACGTGTCTTTCTGTTGCAGTTCGAGAAACGTGTCACTATTATAATCTTCTTTGAGAATTTAATACTACTTTTTGGCTGAACCTGAACTGAAACTTGGGATGGATTTGGCCGGCGCTCTAAGAGATGGTTTATTTTAAATACTGATATCTGAATTAATTAATGAATATTAAAATATCTCCTTTGTGATAATTACTGGTTTACAGCTCGTAACTAATATAAAATGTTGATATCAGGTTCTGTTTGGTGTAGTGTAATTGAAACCTTAATTGATTATGAATTATAATTGATTCTTAACGTTGCTTCTTGAAAGAAAGGAAAAAGGAAACAATTCGATCGACGGGTCCGCATCATAATTGCATTAAATTCCTCGGAGTAGATTATTGGACAAACCTAAATTGAAATAGTTCATTTGGTCGCCTTATGTAAGATATATGTGATGGTTAGTGACTTAATATATTAATATGGTAGTTTTTTATTACTTTATACTATAAATCACTAAGCGTTACATGTATGTCATGTAGAATGACTATGGTAGTGAACGACTGTAAATAATATTAATTTTTTGTATTTGCTTCTACATTTTATAGAAACTTCCGAAGTCATCTTAGGGGGTCGATTGACAGGATTTTTAAAAAGTCAAATTGTTTTAAAATTAAGAAAGATTATTTGAACATGTTTGGATAGAAATCAAAAGATTTTGATATTCAAAAGTTGCTATTGAACTCGTTTAACTAATTTTATGAATTTTTTTTTCTTTAGAAAAAAAACTACTATAAAGTTGCTATTTTTTAAATCAAAAGAATTCTTCTAGAAGCATTTTCAAAATAAGAAGCTATTTTAAAACTATTATTTTCTTTTTTAAAAAAAAAAGAAAAGAAAAATTAAGGTAGTTTCTTCATAAAATCATGATGTAAGAGCAACAGTTACGCTAAACAGGGCTGTAGAAACAGAAGCAGATGCCCTATAAAATCGGTCTTTAAACATTTTTGACACTTTTTTTTTTTTTTTTTTTTAAATCAGGAGAAGTGCCGTCAAAAAATTACTCAAATATGTCCAGAGGATCTATTTCATTTGTATTATATTGTTGACTGTCAAAAGTCGTATGCAATTGGTCTTGCATGATTATGAAAATTCACTTGAGATCACTCAACTTGCACGTTATTTCATGTTCGTCACTCAGGTTTATATCTTCATTTCATATTGTCGTTAAAAAAAAAAAAAAAGAGCCACATTTCAATATTTGAAAATCACTGTAAAATTTAAATTTTACTGCAGGCACAATGCCATTTCCTTTTCATAGTGAAACTCTATTTTGATACAAACAAGACGCGCAAAATGTTGGGAAAATTGGGTGATTTGTATGTAAATTTATTTAGAAATTAGCATAATCAGTTAAATGACATAAACGTAAATTCAACAATAATATAAAACAAGAAGAAGGTTAGATAATCAAGTCTTGGGAGTCACGTCGACGACGCTATCCTAAAGTCGTGTTGCCTCCCTTTCGTGCGGATTTTTTCGACACTACACAGTTCCAAGATAAAATTCATGTGGCTCACCTTCTATGGATACGATCATAGGGAGATAATTGAACGAGCCTTTCACGAGATGCCAAAAGTAGAATATAAAATTGTAGAAAGAATAGTGTTTCAAGAGGGGTTTTTTGTTGTATCTCAAGATTGTGATTTTCATGTTGTGTCCTCCCTTTTTATAGTGTATAATTTAAACCCCACACTAATGAGAATTAATCAATCCATAACCTCCATTTAAATATTTAATTTTATGTTATAATATAAATTAAGATTTTAATTAAATTAAAACTGAAAATTAAAAATATAATAATTTTGAAAGTTGAAACTTAATATAATTTCCAACAATCCCCCACAAGTTTTAAGATTTCAAAATAATTAAAAATTATATAATAGTGGCAACATAATACTGTGCAATAGGTGTAAGTGTCTTTTGGACTTGAACCTCACTTAGTGATAACAATTTTCATTTGAGGGAACCATAATGGACTAAGCCTTGAATTAGACCCCTTTGATCAAATTTCAATTGTTCCACACACAGTATCGATTTAGGCTCTAGTTTATAGCGGGTAGCGCTTTTAATGGTCATGTGCTCTAATCTTGATTCTAATAAGAGTCTCTAGAGAATAGTCCAATCTCATAGTCACAGCCTCATGACAACTCTCACATAGGTGAATCCTTCAGAGGTGTGTGTGACCCACACCTCACAAGAATTCTCGCCTTGATACTCATTCAGGGTTAAACCCTTCCTAACATCACATTATTATTAGCACTATCACCATTGGAATGAGCACAATATAAGTAGTGCTATTACAAGTCACGCAGTACGAGTTATTTCTACCACATTGATCCTTTTTCATGGGATCTCCGATCACAAAGGTTGGGTTACTCACGGAGAGGACTCCCTTATGGGCTTAAACTCATCCCCCTCGAAAATTTATGTATATTCATCTCGGACTATATATATTCATGTCCATCTTGGACAATAAATTGGTACCATTAATTTGTAAAGCTCGCCTCGGTACTCATTCAGGGTTAAACCCTTCCTAACATCATATTATTATTAGCACTATTACCATAGGGATGCAGCACAATATAAGTAGTGCTATTACAAGTCATGCAGTACGGGTTGTTTCTACCACATTGAACCTTCTTCATGGGATCTTCAATCACAAAGGTTGGGTTACTCCCGAAGGTGACTCCCTTATGGGTTTAAACTCATCCCCCTTGATGATTTATATATATCCATCTCGGACTATATATATTCATGTCCCTCTTGGACAATAAATTGGTACCATTAATTTGTAAAGCTTTTCTTCTTCACCTGCCCATTTGCATATCTGCAAAGTCATCTAAGACTTTTTTTCAAGATGTCAATATCACATATATAATTATAATAAGATAAATAAATGAAATTTAGAAATTGACTTCTCATAGCATTTTCAAACGTATGCGTCCGTTCAACTCTTGTATTTCACCTGTATGTCTCCAATTTCATTTCTAACACTTTTCAAAAGTCAGTTTTACACAAAGAATAATAAATATAAGGTGCATCTATTTGACATTTCAAACACCCCCACATTCCAAAGATATTCATCGTTGTGGAGTTTCTTTGAAATTTTTCATGTCTGCGATTACTTCTAAACATTTTAACAAAATGTTAGTGTCACAATAAATAGGAATAATTTAGATAGATTTAAATAGAAGTATGACATTTCGATATTCACCCAACTTCTCTTCGAACATTAACCAAAGAAAAGAAACTCTATTAAATAATTTAATGCCCCAACATTTCAAGGATATCTGACTAACTATGATGATGTTACCTTGTAGAGTTTACCTTGAGGCAAGTCAAATAATACATTTAGGATGCAGCTCAATCATTAATTAATGTACCTAATTTTTTTTCCCTTGCAACACGTATAATGACCAATTTATCTAAACAAAATAGAAGAAAATGCATTGTAATTATTTAACATCGCATTATGAATTTTCTCCCTTAAAATTCTCTGCATCCTTCGCCACATTTTCATTTGAAATAATTCAAAACCAAATTTGACACCACATAAGTCTAAATTAACTAGCCATGCCACCAAACTGAATTCTCATTTTTGAAATAGTACAATTAATAAATTATAATAAATCTTCCTGACATTTTAACCATTAAGATATTCGCAATGATTCCTCTATATACTTGTTCTAGGAGAGGTAAGCACTAGGCCTTTGCACTATTAGTATCTATAAATATTTTCTTCAAGCATCAACTTAAATCAAAATTGATTATACTACATTGAAGTACTATATGTTACTCAACATCAATATAAGAGTTACATATCTAAATTAAGTAATAATAAGACCACTATTATTCACAGGAGTTACAATTACTTTTCCTAAAATATCAGTTAAGCACATTCTTTATGATCCCTAGGAATTACCTGGATACAATTGCTCTTAATATCAATGAAAATCGTCAACGAATCAATCATGGCTAAACACTGAATAGGCCTCCTTTATTTAATGGTTTATTCTTACATTAATAATAGGACATTTTAACCTGAACTTGCACCAAAAGGAAATGTCAATAGTATCACTCAACTCGAGGTAAGAAATCAATGTGCCTATTTTGCTCGTTTTGAAGTGATTATGGATTTCATATCATACATAGAGTTGTGTTCAGACTAATTGCTTCGAAATGGTAATTTCTACTTATTCACTGAAAATACCTATATTTTCTTTTCCTTTTTTTTTTTCCATTCTACTTCAATACAATACCTATATTTTCTTTTCCTTTTTTTCTTTCTTTCTACTTCAATACAAAATTATTTCCAACGCCATTCCTATTTGTAGGTATAAATAAATCTTAATACATCTTCCAACCATAGGGCTGGAGTTGCCATATAGGAAAATAGTCTTAAGGGATTCTATAACTAAGATTTTGTGGTTGCCTTTATATTTTCATTGTTCAAGCATCAACTTGTTTGAGTGAACATACATAACATGATAGCATGGGCGGAAAATGATGCAAATATATTATATCCAGAGAAAAATAGTTCATCTAATGTTGATTCAACATATATTTAGGGGTATAAGCTAGATATGGTCTATCAAATTTTTTCCCATTAGCTCAATGAAATCCATCTTAAATAATCTGAATATCCTTATAAACAATTTTGTAATAATCTAACCACATTTGAATCGATATCGGATTTTATTAACCAAAGACGGCACCTGGATTACGACATTAGTAGTTCAAATTCAATGCAATGCAAGCAAACTGTTAGCTAAGGGGCAGTAAATTGAAGAGTGCATTGCAATGGCTTGAGAGTGTGTCAGTGCTTTAAAAAAAAAATGGATTTGGTTTCAAGGTTTTAAAAAATGATATTCATAAAGCTTTTGATACATCGATTGGGATTTTCTCCTATGGGTATTACAATGCTACGGATTTAATGCCATTTTTGTGCTATAACAAATATTTAAATCTGCCAATATACGAGGCTTGGTGAACAGGACGCCTAAGGGATATTTTTGATGCTCAAGAGTTGTTCATCATCTATATCTCATTCAATTCAAGAGAATACTTATGGGTGAGATTCTTGACAGACAACAAGGTTAGGGGATCCAACTTTCTTTCAGATACAAACAGGTTGCTTACGACACTTGTGTTAGATGTGTAATAGACTAGCAGTTGATATCTACCAATAGAATGCAGGTCTTGGTACACTATCTATAGATGTGTATTAGGCACGAATGCACGCCCAAAATTTCTAAGCAACAATAAGGAAATTAATTTGGCATCAAAGGTAACAAAAGGTACACTAAGATTACACATATGATATATCTACACACCATACTTCAACACGATTTTAGATTGTTGAGAAAATTGGGTGATTTGTATGTAGATTTATTTAGAAATTAGCATAACCAGTTAAATGACATAAACGTAAATTTAACAATAATATAAAACAAGAAGAATGTTAGAAAATCAAGCCTTGTGAGTCACGTCGACGACGCCGTCCTAAAGTCGTGTTGCCTCCTCCTTCGTGCTGGTTTTTTCGGCACTACACGACTCCAAGATAAAACCCATGTGGCTCTCCTTCTATGGGCACGACCATAGAGAGATAATTGAACGAGCCTTTCACGAGATGCCAAAAGTATAATATAAAATTGTAGAAAGAATAGTGTTTCAAGTGAGTTTTTTTGTTATATCTCAAAATTGTGATTTTCATGTTGTGTCTTCCCTTTTTATAGTGTATAATTTAAACCCCCACAATAATGAGAATTAATCAATCCATAACCTCCATTTAAATATTTAATTTTATGTTATAATATAAATTAAGATTTTAATTAAATCAAAACTGAAAATTAAAAATATAATAATTTTGAAAGTTGAAACTTAATATAATTTCCAACACAAAATTCAAATAAAGAGGCAGAAAACATTACGAGCAAAGAAGAAAAAGACAAAATTCAATTATATTGGTACTTTTTATATTAACAAAGAGTAATGTTATTTACAGTAACTCATTGTCGTAGCTGCCTTTGTGACATGCATGTGACGATTGGTGATTTGATACATTAATGTGATAATTTTTTATTATTTTATATAACAAATCACTAACCGTCACATATATATCACGTAGCATGATTGCAGAGTGAACGATCACAAATAGTATTTTTCATTAACGAAGGGTTGAAAATATGTACAATCATGCTACTTGTACAATTTCATTTGTACAATAATCGATGACAACCTTTGTTAGTATTATCACATCCATCCATTTTTAAGTTGTCAAAAACTGTTTTTTAAATTATTGGTCCAGATTTCGCCACCTCCAACATTATCAACAATGTTTGTCAACTAAAATTGTACAAATAGCTTAATTCAAATCCCTAGAGGATTCCATAGCCCGTCAGGCTTCATCATTTTCCATACAATTAGGCTTTACCCGACAACGGGCAGATTTTTATTTTTTAATCAGATTTGGCGTAGCCCTTGTTTGAGCTCCATTCTTTTGGAAAAACATATTTTTCAATAGTGTTTTGACATAATTTCAATGACATATTTTTTAATAAAATAATATTATACGAAAATTCAAAATATTTTTTATTTTTTAACCACACATTTTTTTTCAATACAATATTCAAAAATTTATTCTTCCCAAAAGAAAGGTACTCAAACAAGGGCGTAAATGAATGTATTTTCCTATCGTACGCGTCTTCTTAAAATATCCTTCAAAAATTTAAAAAATTCTAGTAGTAATAATGGATTGGTTGAATAGTGCCTGACATTCTGGCCAGTCAGAGTCCTTCAAGACCAGATCCCTTATGTGACTGGCTGGTTAGTGCTTGTTTGCCATTCATTAAAATTATAATTCATTTTTCTAGTTTCTTATCAATCACACATTTTTATGAAATAATATTATGGCCCAATTTATTTCTCATTATTTGTCCATTAAAATTAAAAATATTACCATTATTCATCACATCAAGTCATCATATTTGATTTTCTACTTCTTGTATGAGGCTCATAACGACTATATTTTTCATTCTCATTCTTACATTAATGTTGCTCAAACGGGGCCTATATATATTTCCAATTATTTTTCTTTTTTAACCATACGTTTTTCAAAAAAATTATTTCAAACATTAAAATTTCAAATAATAAGGGCTAAACGGAGGCGCATTTCCGCCCCCGTTTGGCCCTCATTCTCTTTCATTTTTTTCCTCTTATTTTCAACCACATAACTTTTCATAAAATAATATTACACGTAAATCGAAATTTTTTTATTCTTGTTTAACCCACATTCTTCATAAAAACACTAATCCAAACATTCAAATTTAAGAAAAATGGGGGCTAGACGGACGCTACATTTCTTTTCCTTAATTTTTTTTTTCAAATTCAAATATCGATTTTTACTACATATAGATAAAATTTTAGAAAAAAAAAATTAAATCAAAGCAGAGTTTTAAATAAAATGAAAAAGAAAAATAATAGATAAATTTGGTCACTTCATTATAACATACCAAGTACACTGTATTAGTAAACAGTCATATTATTACATACAAAATATGATAAAATTAATATGCAATTTGAACGAGTAAAGCAAGTTAAAAACCACTACTACTTAGCCAACTGAGTTTCGACTCGTGTTATTTAGAGGTGAGCACGAGTCAGATTCGGGCACAATCCGATAATCAATCCAACATTACCAAGAAATTGACCCAAATCAATTCAAGCTGATTTAGATTGCTGGCTTTAAGGACATTTTATCTTCTTTTTTGTTAAATGCAGGTTAAATCTGAAATCGAAAATTGACCTGACTCCTTTGGAAACCCAACCCAAATCAACTGAGTCAAGTTAGGTTTTTGAGTTAAGTTTAGTACGTGGGCAATCTGTCCAGTCCTAGACCGTTAGTCATAAAAATACCTATTTTGTCTTTTCAAAATGGTCAAGGCAAGTCGAAAGTTTAACCTCTGTTTCAGATTAGTTGCTCAGTTATGACGTGGAAGACTTTCACATTGACTTCAAATAAAACTCATGTTTATCATGCCTAACATTTGTTAAAAAAAGAAAAAAAAAGACAATGTTCTCACTTTTATTTTTAAAAGATCGAGTCGTAGATGTCGCGACCATGTTTGATTAACAAGAATACTTACCCCCTTCTATATCCGGAAGGGGATAATGTGGCATGGACAAGATCCATTGACCACCAAATTTCCCTATGGATAGATGTGCTTATCAAAGGAATACTTCGTTATCAACATATTATCTAACAAAGAAGAAGCTAGCCAATTATTTAGTTTGTGGATCAAATTGAAACAAAATAAAATTGAATAAATATAGAGTCGATAACATTGTTTATGTTATTTGTGTAAACATGGATGATAACTTTATTGACAATTGATGTGTTAGCAAAAATCTATTCATTACACAAACAACTTTTTGTTAGAATTGTTTAATTATAGAATATCACGTGATATTTTTTGTCATCTATGATTGTACATCAAACATGATTGTAGATTTAAACCCACTTGACCCTTCGGGGTATAGTCCTGTGGTGCAAAAGACAGGAGTGAGGATATCTCATGCATTGTTGATAGCTGTAATGTGGGGGTTCGATTCCTGAGACATGAAATTGGATTCTTTGTAAGCGCTGTGTACAGACAGTTCTTGTTCACTGACTTGTTAGAGCACATCTCGCGATTTATCTCCCTCACAAAATTGAGCAGAGTTATAGGGACCGGGTTGAACCTTTATTTTAGATTTAAACCCACTTGGGTTCACAATGCCACACACTGAATCAGAGATAACCATGCGTACTCCCAAATGATCAAATGAACAAAATACAATTGCATTTATTTCAGCTCAACACTCCATTTATACTATAAAATAAAACTATAAACAAAAACAAGCATCAGCAATTTTCATTTTCGCTTTCAGCCTCTTTTCTTCGGAAACCCTTCGTCTACACTTGTATATCAAACTCATTTAATTTAATATCTAGTTTTTAATTTGGGGGGGTTTGTTTAGCTTTGGGAAAGAAGTTATAATTTTTAGTTAGCTTGGGTTGGATTGTTATTGTTTAAAGCAAGCTCAAGGATTTGGAGGATTGCGGCTGGAATTTCATAGATCTGGGTACGGATTTCCTCTTATTTTTCTTTTTAATCTTAGTTAGCTCATAACTCTTTCTATGTGCTTCTGGGAGTTGGTCAACTCTTATTTTGAGTTTTAAACTTTTAATTCGTGCAAACTATTTACTCAAAAAGAAATTGGCAGTTTATTTATAATCTATGCAACGACTGTAGTTTGAATTATGTGGTACTTAATTTTTAATTACTCGTTTGGATGAGTGATTCTGTAATCCACTGACGAATTTTAATATATCTTTATTTCTTATTATCATAAAACTTATTTTTCTTGCTCGTTTCAGTTTCCCTATTATGGGCCTAATTGCAATATACACACATAGAGATGTATAATTGTGTTAAGTTATCAATCCTAATTATTGCGGATCCTAAATTTTTAATTACTCGTTTGGATGAGTGATTCTGTAATCCACTGACGAATTTTAATATATCTTTATTTCTTAATATATCTTTATGGGCTAAATTGCAACATACACACATAGAGATGTATATTTGTGTTATCAATCCTAACTATTGCGGATCCTAAATTTTTGTATTTTTTAAAAATTCTATTGAGGAATTGGAGTTCTTGAAAAATTTGATTTTGTTCTAATTTATGATATAAATAGGGAGTCATACTTAGACTTTATAATTATCATCAAAAGGAGAAAAATAGAAGCTGGAGAATATAGGAGTGCAATTTTTCTTGTAAATATTTTTTCATCGTAGTGAATTACTACAATAGCGGGAGAGGACGTAGCCTCATATTGAGTTGAACTTCTATAAATCCTTCATATTCTTGAGTGTTTATTTTTCTTTCTTCGAATTGATTGCTCTTGGTTCATAATCCTCAACAATTTGCAATCTTTCCCTATGCATGTGCAGCCTTTCTCTTATATTACGATAAACCAGCTGGTAGAGGAGGATGGCGCCTTTGTAGATTTCTGGAGAATTTAAACTATTTAAATAGAAATTAGTGGTAAATAACTTGATAGTAACGACCATTTATAGATTAGTCAAACGGAGACTAAAATTTTGCTGATGTTTTAGACACAAGAGCACCTTTCTCAATACACTTTATCATGTTCCTGGTCTTGTATGTGTATTTATTTCATTTTGATGAGTGAAAATTTAAGTAACTTATGTTGTTTTGCATATATAACATCCATTCTGTGCAGTGAAACCTGGCTATTCTGCTGCTGATCTTATAAAAGTTGAACATTGATTTCACTGCCATCTCGCTTGTATGCCAAGGTCCTGCTACAGTCATAATCATGCAGCACTACATGATTAAAGAAAAGATCTTAAAAGTTAATAGTGTTGAAGAGAATTTGAGTTGTACTTCTCAGTTGTGTTCTGTAATTGATAGTTGATGGTTCCTTGTGGTTGGTATAAAATAACTTGACATGCTTATGTAGAAAGCACCTGTTTTTTGGAGGGGATGAACATATACTATTACTATATTATATATTTTGCTATTATAATTTCTAGGTAATTCTGCAAGAATAAGTAGTTCCCCAGCATCCTGCTCAGTACAGGAAATGGGAAACTTCATCTTTTCTTTCTTCGGTAAGTGATTGGAGATAATGTTGAAGCTCTCAACTGACAGGAAGTATTTTAAGCATCCTGACTTTTGGTGCATTTCGAATAAGGCTTCAAACATTCATTATTTTGCAAGAAGAGTGCGTCAAAAGTAACGATTTTGTGCACATTTAAAGCATATTGTGGAATGTGAATATTGCTTCAGGGCACCAATTCTTTTTGCATTTCATTTTCTCACGAAACACTGGATGTAGTTGATATCAAATAATATCTGGGCTCAATAAACTTCAACTTGCTATAACCTTGCTTTGACCCTGCAACACATGACCACATACATCCTTAGTTAACGAAAACAATTGTTTAGCATGGTGTCTAAGTATCTTGACCAACTAGTGGATTCTTATTATGTGGTTTGATGCCACCTTCTGTTGTATTCCTAAGGTTTTATTTCTATCATCATGACCATTCATTATTTTTTGTTTATGGATTTCCAACTTTACCAGGGTAGTATATGTTTTATGTTTATGACTTCTGTTGTCCTGTCTACAGATTAATGAAATATGTATCAACCAAAGGGCGTTCCTACCTCAAGCTTAGTTCATAACAATCCATTAGTTCACAGTCAGCCATTAGACTGTGGTGCCAGCTCAATGGATCCCATCAGCTCAGGCAACAATGCCAACAACAATCTTAATCTGGCCTCTAAGCAGCGGCTTCGTTGGACACATGAGCTTCATGAACGGTTTGTCGATGCCGTAGCACAACTTGGTGGACCAGATCGTGAGTCATCTTGATTTTCATTTAGCCAACTTGTGCAAGTTATCCTGACAAATGAAAGAAAGACAAAAGTGACATTTTAGCGCAGAGTTTTATGTGTTGGCTTTCATATTGACTTTCAAATATTCATAATGGGCTCGTGTCATGTTCTGAAAAATAAGTAAATTGATGCGTTTTTGAGCTTTCAGCTGGAGAATTTATTTACTCTTCATTTATTTATGCATCAGCATGAAAAAGTTGTAAGATTTTACTTTCCAATTTCAGGTGCTACACCAAAAGGTGTTCTCCGAGTTATGGGGGTTCAGGGGCTAACAATTTATCATGTCAAAAGCCATTTACAGGTATTTAACTTATGATATTCCTTTCCAAATCCCTGTCTGTATGTATTTTGTCTGCTAGGTAACTTGGCTGACTATTGCACACAGAAATATCGACTTGCCAAGTATCTTCCAGATTCATCATCTGATGGTATGTACTTTATAGATGATGCAGACATTACAGTATTATTACATTGCTTGAATTTTTCAAATTATGCTTTAATTTCAAGGATGTGTGATGTAAACGAAAGCGTGAACTCAACAATCAATCTCTCAAGAACACAATAATAGATTGAACTTAAGAAAACCCTCAAAGTTGTAGTCAAGAACAACCAAGAAAACAAAGTGCCAAACAAAAGCCAATAAATAGTTCTAACACTTAGAAAAACCGTAATCGTTAAAGACCAAAATGCCATCCACAACAGGGCCAAAAATAAAGAACAATTTAAAAGAAAACAGTTCAGGTCCAGGGAGACCCTTGCCAAGCCTGGGGGGTCAAGGGGATCCTGCCTCCAGCTTGAGGGCTGGCTGGGGGCGGCATGGAGGGCGGCATGGAGTCTACCCTTGGCTGCTACAGGGGTGGCCGCTCTCCTCCTTTTGCTGACAGTTGCGTCTCATCCCTTTGGTGCTGAATTGCATCTGTGCTGCAGTCATCTCTTAATGTACCAAGTTGCTTCCACAGCTGCGTCAATGCCTTGTAGAAAATGCTTCTTGAACACATCTTGTTTTGAATTTTATGAAGGGGGAAAAGCTGAAAAGAAGGAATCTGGAGATATGCCTTCCAGTTTGGACGATTCATCGTAAGTAGATGACATTCTTTTTTTATTCAATTTCTTTTTATGATCAATTCATGGATTCATATGAGTGAGCCTTTTGATATGAGGCTTTACTCTTTCGTTATGCTTGCAGCGGAATGCAAATCAATGAAGCACTTAAGCTGCAAATGGAGGTCCAAAAGCGTTTGCATGAACAACTGGAGGTACACTTCCATCCCCTGCTCCCATGGTACTATTTTTCCCTGCTTTTCCTGTACAAGTTTCTTGATATATCAATTACTTTTCCATGGAGCTATTGAAACATTGACATGTTGAAATAGGGGATGCGTTTGTATTTGATGCGAAAATATGATTCCTATGCTTCAAACATGTTGCTATTAAAGTATGAAAAATTTGCTCCATTTCATCATGAAAGAATCCGTGGGAAAGTTAGATAATCCATATTGCATTCTTTCTCCACCTTACGAGGAAATCCATGCTAAACTCATTGGTGATTTAAATTTATCCCCAGCCTTCTCCTGGTATTTAACAGCTTCTCTGTGTTGGAGAAAAGTTCATCTCTTAGGAGATGCAGGTTTTATAGGTCTAAATGTTTCTGTACTGTCTAGCGAATTATACAGGAATTGACATCTATTTGCAATAAAATGTAAATCACCAATTTGGTATGCAATACTGGGTAAAAATGAGAAAGTTGTGTCCAACTGCTCCCTCTCTAAAATTCAGAATTAGCATCAGAAAATTCAGTTTTCTTCCTTTTTTTTTACCTGCTAAAAACAGTTAGATCTAGATGTTTCTATGAAACTTTGCTGTCGAGCTTTCTTCTCAGGGAAAGAACAAAATTAAAAGAGATACAAAATCTAAATCTTGGGATTACTAATTCAAATGAAAATGATTTGAATCTTTGTTTTCGAAACATAATGATGAACAACAGGTTCAAAGACAGCTACAGTTACGTATAGAAGCCCAAGGGAGGTATTTAAAGAAGATAATTGAAGAACAAAAACGAGTAAGTGGAGCTCTTTCGGAAGTGCCCGGTTCTGGGGTCACAGCTCCTGTAGCAGAGGACACTTGCCCAGAATCAGATAGCAAAGTTCATCCAGCAACCCCTGCTCCAACATCCGAGCCTCCCCATCTGGACAGGCCTCCCAAAGAACGTGCAAAAGCCAAGAGTCTTTCTCTAGACGAATCTTTCTCATCCCATCAGGAGCCTCTGACCCCTGATTCCGGTTGTCATGTGAACTCATCAATTGATAGCCTTCGCGATAAACCTGGAAAAAAGCAAAGAATGAGTACAGATGCAGCATTCAGTAAACAAGAGATGGTGCGTCCCCATTTGATAATGGAGTCGAGCTTGAGTCCATGTTACCAGCAGCCACATTCAGTTTTCCTGACCGGAGAGCAGTTTGATCGTTCATCAGGAATGTCAGTCGCCAATGAACTGCTGGGAAAAGTTTCGGGTGGCAATATATGATCCATAGCAGTCCAGTGGCATTTCTGGGCTATATAGAGTTTCTGAAATTCGCTTCTTTCCCATAGATCAGAAGTGTACCAGTGTCTAGATATGAGAATATTGTGGGTATTTCTGGATTTGCTCGAACTCTCCATTTGTAACTGTGAGGACTAAGTTGCTATATAGTGATTTCGACACTAAAAATCTGGTAGTTTGATGCATTTGGTTGGGATTGTCATTGGAAATTTTATGCCTCATGTCTTGGGTTCTGACATCGCACAACAGTAACACGTCCTTATTTGTTATATCTGCTGTTGGTGGAACGCTATCAAATATTATGGACCAAATGCACGACAATATCATGCGCCTATATCAATTAGCCTCACTTGTACAAAAAAAATAAAAAATAATAATGATAATAATAATTAGCCTCACTTTCTACTTTGTAGCTAAATGAAATGAAAATGAGCAAAAATAGGATAGTTATTCATCACATCAAGTCATCATATTTGACTTTCTATCTCTAGTGTAGGGTTCGTAACAATTATATTTTTTATTCTTATTTTTACATTAATGTGTGCCAAACGGGGCCAAAACTTCAAAATGATATTCTAAATTATAACTGAAGACTCTATAGAGCAGAGAAAAAGAAAATTTTGAAAGATTTCAAGAAAAGATAGAGACGGAAAATATTAAACGAAAGAAAAGATTTCAAATCCTGTCCAGCCCTCGCAATTACAAAATAACATTTAACTAATATAAAATCAATCATTTAATATTTTACTATATATGAAATTATTGTATGTACTAGAATTGTCCCCACTCAACCTACCAAAATCGTAAAATCGCATCAAATTTTAGTGAAACATCAAAAAAGAAAAAGAATTCCATGCCTCCAATACAGAGATAGACTCAAATTTGAGCAATTATTTATTAGCTTCTCAAAGATAATTTAAATAAAATCGAATTAAAGGAAAAACGCCACCCTTTGACTCGTATAGATCCAATTTCACTCATTGAGAAATTTTGGAACGGATCGCCGCCATAAAATTTAACCGGAGATCAGGGATCTGTCCGGCAGCTCCGGCTGGATATTCACGATTTCGATTATAGCTATTATTTGCAAGAACTCTTTCTTGTTTGGAAAAAATTGAAAAAGGGGGCTGTTGAATTTCTCAGGTCAGCATCAAAATTCTCATCTTTTTTTCACGTGAATTTTGTTTCGTTATTTTCTATTTTCTGTTTTATTATTCATTTCCTCTGGGGTTTTTGTGTGTTGACCTTTTTCCGGATAGGTTTTGTTCTGTTTACAACAATAGCATTTTCCTGTCGTGTAATAATTTGATTTTTTTTCCCTTCCTTTTAGTTCGATGGTGTGGACTATATTTCGGGCACAATGATACTCTTTATTTTTTTTGTCCTTTGACCTTTGAAATTTGAATTTAGTTTCTTTTTTTTTTTTTCCTCTTAAAAAATGCCAAGTTAATTGGATATGTTGATTTACTTCTTAATTCGTTGTGTTATATTTGTGAGACTGGGAAAAAATTGTAATTCAAATATAGAAATTTCAATTTTTTTCTCACTTTATGTATCTGTTTGTTGTACAATCAAATCACGGGGTCTCCCTTTGGTAATTATTGGTTATATTGCTTTTGGTGCAGCTACCAGTCAGTTGAGTTGGATGATAAATAATGTCCAATCAAGAGGAAGAAGTGGAGTACGCGAATGGTGATTATGAAATGGGGGAAGTCGACGAGGATATGTATTTTGCTGGTCGGATGATGGGAGACTCAGAGTCCGATGAAGAAGATGAGGATGAATATGAAAATTTGGTCTGTTCAATTTATGCATAAAATACACACTTGCATAGGATTTAAATGCAAGAACATTACTATTAACAATATACATTTTCATTTGTAAACTTTTTGCCATATGGTTTTGCTATTGGTGAGACGATTTAACTGAATTATGGGATTAGGACAACAAGATAACCGATACTTCTGCTGCCGAGGCAAGGAGAGGGAAAGATATTCAAGGAATTCCATGGGAGAGACTAAGCATTTCCCGGGAAAAGTATAGGCAGACTAGACTAGAGCAGTATAAGAATTATGAGAATATACCACAATCTGGCGAGGCTTCAGTGAAGGTAACTTTCAGTTTCAAGTCAAACTGTGAAGATATTATTTTGATTCCAGTTAATGTACGCTTTTTATATTATTCGTTCCTTTTTTTTTGGATTTTCAGGAATGCAAGCCAACAAGCAAAGGTGGAGCATACTATGAGTTCCGGCAGAACACGAGATCCGTGAAATCAACCATCCTTCATTTTCAAGTAAAATCATATGTTTCCTTTGATTTTTTTTGGTCCTTTTAAATGCTTTGATTGAACTGTTGAATTCGTACTCTTACTTGTAATATTTGAGATGTAGTAGCATTTCAGCCTTTGCACCTGCAATATGTGAGATTTATTACCTTGGGCTTTGGCTATGTGTATGTATAAGACACAAAAAAGTGTATATCTGTGATTGTGTAGCACAGTGTGGTAAGAAGAACGATCCTTCTATAATCTCGTGAACGTTTAAGATACCATATATGATGCATAGAGAATTGCATCTTTGATAATTATGTTAAAGGTGTTTACTCCTACAACTCTGTTTTAAGCTTGGTTTTCTTAAGGTGTGATATCATGGATATAATATCATAAGTTTACCTGTAAAGATATTCTATACCCTTCCTTCTACATCTCTACCATTACAAGAGACCAAGAACCAATAAATAAATGTAAATATCCTTTTCTTTTGTGAGTGTGCATGTTTTATTGGGAAGGCGATGCAGCTACTGCAGAATACATGTCTCTGACTATATTTAATTGCCACGTTTCCTTCAGTTCCAACTTTTGAGAGATCTACAAAAATTTCATGAATAATATAATTTGGAGCTGATCTCATTGTTTTAATGAGGAGCTTCTGATAATTAGTCAAGTTGAAATTTCACGCTGTCATGCTTTTCCATCCAGTACAACACCCTTGCGGATCTTCTTACCCATTTAGTTTCTATGTGCTGTACAATTATGCTACACATGTTAGCATTACATAAGATACTGAAGAGTCTTCTGGATTTTAGATATTATTTAGGGGTTGTTTGACAAAGCTTTCGATAAAAGTTTTTGTAGATTTTGATTAAAGTTGATGAAATATGGGTTGCAGTTGATAAAAGTTGTGGGTCCTATGAAATTTGTGGTTAAAATTAATTGTTGGCTTTGACCTCAATTTTTTAAGCTTTTCCAAATATCACTTACTGAAGTTTATGCTTGGATTTAGCACTTCTTTTGATGTCAGTCTTGATTTGTATGTTGTTGCGAATGCTTAATTTAATCTCTTGAGCATTTATATTATATACTTTTGAAATATGTTGGAGTGTCTCTTTTGGTTATCTCATTTAACCCTGTTGTTTCACCTTGCAGTTGAGGAACTTGGTTTGGTCTACGTCAAAGCATGATGTTTACCTCATGTCACAATATGTAATCATGCATTGGTCTTCATTGACATCCAAGAAGACTGAAGTTCTTAATGTTTCTGGGCATGTGGCTCCACGTGAGGTGCATTTTTCTTATTAGGATTGGGTTTCTGAACATTTTTGTCCATTATTTTGATGCTTCCTTCTGGTAATCATAATTTCTGGAATTTGAACGGTGGATGGATTTTCTGTGCCTTTGTAGAAACATCCTGGAAGTTTACTAGAAGGATTTACTCAGACTCAAGTTAGTACTCTAGCAGTGCGTGACAATTTGTTGATTGCTGGGGGATTCCAGGGGGAGCTTATATGCAAGGTAGTTCGTTCTTTGTGTATATAACACATGCCTTCCGTCATGTTCTATTTTCTTATATATCTTTCTACCTGCATTAGAGAACTAGTTGTTTTCGATTGCTGATAGGTCCGTTTGTGTTCATAACTTCACAAGTTGTTTGAAGAAACTTGTCTTCAGTTACGTAATTCATTTTTCCTTCGCAGTGTAAAACACAGTTATTCTGTTTAGTGGTTATGCTGCAATGTATCAAGTATGAGACAATTAGAAGTAACAAACATTAAACCTTTCTAGATAATGGAAATTGTGAAGATTTTTATTGATTCACTGACCGGAGTACTTCATGTTGATGCAGGATATAAACCGGCCAGGGGTGAGCTTTTGTACTAGGACAACTTATGAGGATAATGCAATTACCAATGCGATTGATATCTATAACAGTCCAAGGTGATCTGCATTCTTCTTTACAATACCAAATTGAACTCCCTACCTATCTACTTCTTGGGGATTTTTGAGATATACTACAGAAATGCCATCTCTATATTTTTAGTTTCTAATTCTGGTTCTTGTTGCATTTAATTCACCGCCAGTGGTGCTGTTCATTTCACTGCTTCAAATAATGACTGCGGAGTTCGAGACTTTGACATGGAGAGATTTCAGCTTGTTAAGCATTTCTCTTATCCTTGGCCTGTAAATGTAAGTTTAGTTTCTCATAATAATTTATTTACGTTACCTATGGGCATAGCAATAGGAATTAATTTCCTTTGCAATTTAGTAGAATATTTGTTATTGATGTCTAGGGTTTTGTTGAAAATTGGAGGGGAAAAAGAAGTACAAAAATGCATATAAAATGTGTATTTTAGATCCATAGGGTTTTTGCTGCAATGGCATTCAGAGTGGTTAAACCAGATGCTCACGTCAAATTTGTACTTGAATCTCTGAGATTTATAAGTTACCAATAGAATAAATTTATAAATCAAATGTTGTTGACACTTTCCGAATTTGTTGTTTTATGATTATCATGATTTTGAAGTTGCGGTGTTAAAAAGTGTAGTTTTTACAGTAACCAAGTTGAAGATGTTGCTAAAGTTTTATTTCAATGTCTTGTATGCATGCCTGTTTATGAAAAGAATATTGATGTGAGTGGAATTTGATGAAGGTGCGTGTGAGGATGTAACAACATTTTGATAATTTTCTACTTAATATGTTGTGTCCATGATATTTGTGATTGAGAATTACCTTGAGGATAAATGGAAAGAACTTTTACCCCGGTGGTTTAAGAAAGAGGACCCATGATACTGTTTTGAGTTCAGGAATTTATGAACTTTATTTCCAAATCTCAATTGCATTGTTAGAACTTAGCAGTTAGATCACAGGCTGTGCCTGAACTGCATTGTGGCTTCAAAACATGTGGTACTTGGGTCATCTGACAATAGCCTATAATTGGTACTTGGAGAGTTGGAGTTTGTGTGTTAAGATTCGATCGAATGCATTGTTGGCTGTTATGCACCTAATTTGGATCCACAATTTCCGGAACAGCTAAATCACTGGATTGCGCGACGCTCTTTAATCCTCTCTACAGATATTGTTTTATGTGAAAAAATAGGCAGTTAATACATTTATTATTTGTTCTTCAACTTCGAGTTGACCATGATATTCATGCATCTGTTTATGTGGTGCCCAACATGTTCTCTGTATGGTCTGTACCTACGGGTTTAGGTAAATATCTAATCGTCCACCGTCCGGAGAAGTCATTTTTGGAGGAGAAACTATGCGTCTCACAGGATACAGATAGTAATAACTGGGTTCCTTATCTATATGATCCCCGGCGTTGAGCTTCCACGTGAGCTTTCACAAAAGTATGCAGCATGAGCTCAACCAAAGTACTCAAAATGAGCTAAACCAAAGTATTTAATGGTCTATGAACCTTCTCATTTAGAAATGATTACTGTGCTTTGTCCCGATCATCTGCTTTTATATTGATCCATGGATGTGTAGATATGTTTGAAGCAATCCTAGCACATTTTCTGGACGGCAATCGTATGGAAAATTACTCCTTACAAGTTCGAACTACTATACTTCATATATTCTAAATAATTGATTGTCAATTTTACTTTCATTTAGGTATAGTCGGGAGAGGGTTTGGTATCTTTTGATCCCTTTTTAAAAAAATTCATTAAAATATAGGTGTATATTATGGTTACCTTTTGTCTGTTACAGCACACGTCTTTGAGTCCAGATGGTAAACTCATAATTATTGTTGGAGACAATCTTGATGGGATGCTTGTGGATTCTCAAACTGGGAAGGTAATGCGTCTTTCCGATTTCTAGATTTAATATGTGGATAGTGGGATGGAACTGATGGATTTATAAGGACCAAATTGACGAGGTATTCTTTTGCTACATTGACAATGTGATTTTTTAGACGGTCATGCCTCTACATGGACACTTGGATTTTTCTTTTGCTTCTGCATGGCATCCGGATGGTAACCTATTTGCCACCGGGAACCAAGATAAGACTTGCCGTGTATGGGATGCTCGAAACTTGTCAAAGTCTGTCACTGTACTCAAAGGAAATCTTGGAGCCATTAGATCAATCCGTTTTACATCTGACGGACAATTCATGGCAATGGCTGAACCAGCAGATTTTGTCCACGTCTATGATGTGAAGAATGGTTACGAGAAAGAACAGGAGATTGACTTTTTTGGCGAGATCTCTGGAGTCTCTTTCAGTCCTGATACAGAATCCCTCTTCATTGGCGTGTGGGATCGCACCTATGGTAGCCTTCTTCAGTACAACCGTTGCAGAGATTATTCGTATTTGGATTGTCTGATATAATCATTTGGTACGTTCTTGCCCATTCTTGGATATGAAACTTCTGCGTTGGTACTACTGTTGCGTCGTCAAATAATGCTGACTAGTCTAGCAGAAATGTGAATTTAAGCAGCTCTGGTGCCTTTTGGTAGGGAAAAAAATATCGCCGTTGACTTGCCATTTTCTTGTTGGCATTATGTGTATATTGAAATTTCCAATTGTATCATTAACTTTTCTGGAGTTAAATGAGAACAGACTGCCTGGAATTACTGTTTTTAATTCATATTCAACACCTTGTTGCCGAAGTGAACTGTCAAATAATTTATATCTGCTTGGGAAAAAAGTAATGAATTAATATCCGTACCGAAGATTATGAATTATGTACTTTGGTTTGGAACACTGAAGATTATGATTATGAAATGATGAAGTATTTTCTCACATCAATTTGCTTTTGTTACATCAATATCTACATTTATACATCAAATCATAATCAAACTGTTAGTTTAGCACAAATGATGCTCCACGGTAGATAATCACTCTTTATGTATTAGTGGTAGTGCCATGTTAAAAGGGACTAAGGGGTGCCAACTAGCTGCAAACCCAACTAGCATCCAACCCTTTCCAAGCAGAATTTTGTGCAGAATCAAGAGAACCCGAAAGCCATTATAGGATAAATGGATATGGAAAATCATTCATTCTTTTATTACTAAAAGAATGTGTCATATCTCACACCTTTGGGGCATAATAAGAAAATGGAAAGAGAAAAAAGCAAAAAAAAATCAATTTAGAACTCTTGATGCGAAGAGCTCAATGAGTTAATTAAATAACTTTATGCTTCTTCACTCTTGCTGTGCTCGACAGTTATTACTCCGGTGTAATTGGATCAAAGCCCCCCTTAGGCTGCACTCTTTTACCTGAAAATGATGAACGATAATTGGAAAGGTTATAATTTTGTGAGAAGATGATCATAACATTCTGCAGCAGTTACCTTCCAACTTTTTTTTCTTCATGGATTGAGTTAATTTTGAAATGATTCTTCGACATCAAAGAGGTAAAATGAACAAAAATTATTAAAGGATATGCTAAATGAAAGAAGAAGAAACCAAAATAAAAAAATAGTAAACAATACTTGGAGGAAATATGTCAATGGAGAATGAAGTTTCCTAATAAGACGCTATTGGTTGAGTCATAGATGGACAAACCTGTGCTGTATATTTCTTGGATAGTAAGTCCCCACATTCCTCAATAAGGGCTCTTTCTCCACTAACCACCCGAGCTAGTTCAGAAATTGAGGTATCCACTTCTTCAGCCTGCATTGAAGATGTGCATTTTTAACACAGGCATGCATTTATATCATCTATATAAACACAGTACATCCACAATTGTATGACTTCCTTTCACATTTACAGGACCTGCCAACAATTAATAGAAAAAGAAATCAAAATATTCTAAACAGTATGATTTCCTCAACATTTGTGCATTCTATAGTGTGTTTTTAACATAGATATCACATGAATTTACGGGATAAATGCCTGGCATTTTGTCTCACCTTTGGCATAAGTCTCAGGACATGGGAAACTATCAGTTCCATCACCTTTACAGCTGAGCTCAAAGCCTCCTGCAAGTCTTTCACTTCAACCTGGAAAAGTTACCCCACAGTTACCCAGTTCTTTACATTAATTTAACAAATATGGATAAAATTTATGCAATTAGTTAGCAGAATAAGTCTCACCTGGACCTCTCCACTGACTGGAACTCTTAGCGAGGAATTTAATAAAGCATTTGATATGTCCGATAAAGAAGTTAAAAAATCCTGTTCCAAAGCAGACCATGCATCCAGATACGGCATCTAATATAATAGCAGAGTACGTGAGCACCAAAGCCAAAATAATAAAATTGTAAGAACAACAAAAAGTTCTCCAAACAACCAAAGTTCCTCTTTCATAGGTGTAAAAACCATTTAGAAGATAACTAATGCAACAAAAATGACGTCTCTGTTTTTTCTTTAAGTTTCTTGACCATTTCATGTTTCTTCTTAATAAGGCCATTCGATTTTCTAAAAACGAGTGATAACTGTAATGACCAACATAACAGGGATGAAATAATAGAAAAAATCAAAAGGAATATCAATCATGTTATTTGACATCTGGGATAATCAATTGGTGAATGAGTAACAAACCATCTACCAAATGCAAATGACATGGCTTGTTAAGGTATTGTAAGAATGTCTTTTCAACGACACATTCTGCAGTGTTTATACATATAATTGAAAGTTGATCAATAATTCAATAGTATATCCAGGAAAGCTCTTAAAAGTGAATATCTTTTCATGATTGCCATCTAGAATAGAAACATGCATGTATAAAATATTTCATTTCAAGTCACAACATAAGATGAGCAATAAACTCAAAGCCTGACCAAGCCTTACTTGAGCTTCAACAATCATGGATAAAGTCTTAATTCCTTGCAGCATCCCAAGTTCACTACGCTTCTTTTTCACTTCATCATGTAAATCAGATATCTTGCTTCCCATAGAGTAAAGTTTTATCTGCACATAAATGGGGGGAAAAACATGATTTATAATTCAATATTAGACTATTGAAAAGAGCAAGTCCTTTATCCATTCCAATTTGTAATGCAAATTAAAGAGACATTTTGAAGAAGAGAGATGGATTATAGGACTAAAATGAGGGAATAATCAGAATTATAATACAGATATCCTAGAATTTCAAATGAGAATGGAGATAAACCTCAGCATCCCTTTTTTGAGTATTGACAGTTGCCTCTGCTTTTGCATTGGCTAATCGCCACTGCAGATAATGGTTGTAAAGCATCTTGAGAGAATGCACATCTTCTTGATGATTAGAGACCTTCCTTCCTTTCCTTGCGTCCATTCCCAGTCTCACACACGATGCTGGATGAGGAGGCAGGCAAAGACTTCCGCCCATCTTTACAGACGATGAAAAATTCAGTGAGCGAGCACAATCACTAGTGACTTTACCCTCATTGTTAGAACTCCTCTCAGCAAGCCATTTATCCACATCTGACACAGAAGAGCGCGTCTCAGGAAGACTCCGGGTCGCCTTGCTAGTCTGCATAAACAGTGGAGAACTGGGGCACGAAGAACTACCTTGGCTACTAGCAGTACTGCAAGAATCCGAATCGTCATATCTAGATGTTGAAATTCTAGAAAGCTTTTTGTCCACAGTTTCTCTGTAATTGTTGCTACCAGAAGTCGCTTCTTGCAATAGCCTAGTGGCCGCCGTAACGGCCGTGCATCCATTAATACTAATATTCATCGGATTGCCACGATTACCACTATGGGGAGTTTGCCTATACCGCGATGGGACAACCCGATCGGTACCAATCGCAATCGGCGTGTCCGGCCTCGAAGAAATTCTAACAACCGATGCCGCTTGCTGCTGTTGATTTTGTTCACCATTTTCCTTAAAATGCCTAAATCGTTGCTGTTGCTGCTGTTTCTTTTGAACAGTAGCTACACTATTTGTTGCTAACGATCTATTGTGTGATACCGTCTGGGGTAGAACGAGCAGGGTGTCTAGGCTTCGAGTGGTTTCCGGTACTTGATTCTCGTCGCGTGATGATTGCCTGCGGTGGACTGATTTTGATCGCGAATTTTCAGAAGGTGTAGGGGTTGGGGTTGCGTTGGAATGAATCAAAGGTGACATGAATCGCGAACTGACTTCCCGCACCCTTGGCCGCCGTTGGGGTAGCGACGGAACTCCAACTTCCGCCGATGCTTCGGCTGCACTTCCGGCAGTCGATTCGGTCATTTCTCTTCAACTTTGCCGGATTTCGAGGGGAAGATTACTCCAACGCCAACAAAGATTAACGATAAAAAATTTGTAGCGATCGGATTCGAAATGCCGACGGGAGAAATGGAGAAGGGGGCAGGGGATTTTCGTGTAAAGGAAAGGTTGAAAAACTAGCCGTTATGGGTTTAGAATTGTATATATATACGAGGATGGGGACGTTAACGGATCTTTTTCTCGGGTGGGCAGTGATGTGGGTAAGACTGGAGATTACATCCGGGACCGGGTTAATTATGTGGTTAACGGATATACTGCTTTTAAATGTAATATTAATAGGCACCTTTGAACTTTTACCTCTCAAACTTTGTAAAATATAACAAAGTTATCCTCAATTATTTTTCAAAAATAAATCTCCCTTGAAACAATTAAATATTTATTAACACATAAAAAAAATTAAAAAAAAATTTGATTTTAGAAATTTTATCTCTTCCAACCAAGTTCACCCGCACACGCTGTCAACACCCGATTTTCTCTAAATACCCAATTAGAGGCAGCGATATGGAGCTAATTTGCCTAGAAGATGGAGCTGACCAAGTACTACATATCGACAAGGAGATGGGAATATTTTGTTAATAGTATTACTATCTAGCATTTCATTTTCCTTCACTCAGGTTCATGTCGTAGCCGAGTCTCATTAGAGTCGCCCTGTCAAGTCAACGAGTTCGGCTATACACGTGAGGGCGTGTAAGACAAAATTAAACATCTTGCATTGCATTATTCATCTTATTCTTTCGAGCCTAAATGCAAAAGTTAAAAGCAAAGGACGAAACGAATGAGAATAGTTAATTTGGCTCAAAGTGAAGCAAAATCAGGAATGACATAACATATTGAACATGTACAGCCACTCGATAAATCTCATTTGCCAGTACAGAGCACTTCACACACCATGTGCAGAAACTAGGTTGTTCTGATTGAAATAGATCAACCTATTTTGACTTCCTGTTTCCATACTGAATCATAGAGCCAGCGATCGTATAGAGGTATGCTCCTAAAGACGAAGATGTTCACATATTATGGCAAATTGGTGGTACATAAGACAATTCAATCAATGATTAGTTGGGAGTTCAGTCATGGCTTCAAAAATTCCCTCTTCTGGGGTCGTGAAAAAGCTCATCTGCAAAGCATCAAACGAGTCTTCGATGAAAAGACCAGTTATGAAAATATTAGGTAATCTATGATTTGCAAGAATAATATAACCGATGGTCACCCGCTCACTTGCAACGTGCTGTGAGGGCACAAGTTCTTCGATAGTCAAATGTCCATATTTATTAATGATTAGTCATATCATGAATTTCATTTTGTGGCGTATTAACTAGGACAGCTATAGTCTAGGCTCTATCTTACCATTCTCATCGTCCTCTCCACTTTGAGTTGTAAAGAACGGAGTGAGGTAGTTCCTATCTAGTGCTGTAAATGACGTGGTGCTGCAGGAAAGAACCCAGAACTTTAAATTAAAGAACTTGAATATGAATTTATGTAATAGTCCAACAACATACAGCGTTTATGGTACCTTTTGTGAAATTCTTTAAGTCTCATCTTGAATCTGTTCCCAGATGATGATTCTTCTCCTTCATATGAAGGAACTACATAGCCATTGTTCCCCTCAAACCTCTGGAACCAGTAAAGAAAACAAATTTGGTTTGTCAAATTAAAAATAATAATTTTTTACAGGATAACTTCAACACCAGTAAAATTACTTCCCAAGGGATCAGGGATAAAGGTCATCTTTTTTGTTGTTAGTTGGGTAGGACCCACACAATTTATAGGAAGCAGTAAATTATATAAACTGATTCACCAATGCATCATCACCGGACTGCAGGCAGGTGGGCTATAAGATTATCTACTAATGAACTTACTTCACTCAATGAGTTGTCATGACCATCACCGACAACTTGTAAAGCTTCTAGCATGGTACCTGTTGATCCTCCTATCAGCAAGACCTGCAAAGTGTCCATACTCCTAGACATGTCAGACATCTAAACGAACTTAAGATTGTTCATATATTCTACTATGGGTCTTAGTGGCAACTTGGCCCTGCTCCATTCGGTTTTTGTCAATATGTAATTCTCTTGAATATAATGGCTGTTAGACAAAGAAATATACATGTAGGAAAAATAGCACCACATAATCATCAAATTTCGGTCAGCAATAACAAATACATAGGATAAATGGATATGGAAAATCATTCATTCTTTTATTACTAAAAGAATGTGTCATATCTCACACCTTTGGGGCATAATAAGAAAATGGAAAGAGAAAAAAGCAAAAAAAAATCAATTTAGAACTCTTGATGCGAAGAGCTCAATGAGTTAATTAAATAACTTTATGCTTCTTCACTCTTGCTGTGCTTGACAGTTATTACTCCGGTGTAATTGGATCAAAGCCCCCCTTAGGCTGCACTCTTTTACCTGAAAATGATGAACGATAATTGGAAAGGTTATAATTTTGTGAGAAGATGATCATAACATTCTGCAGCAGTTACCTTCCAACTTTTTTTTCTTCATGGATTGAGTTAATTTTGAAATGATTCTTCGACATCAAAGAGGTAAAATGAACAAAAATTATTAAAGGATATGCTAAATGAAAGAAGAAGAAACCAAAATAAAAAAATAGTAAACAATACTTGGAGGAAATATGTCAATGGAGAATGAAGTTTCCTAATAAGACGCTATTGGTTGAGTCATAGATGGACAAACCTGTGCTGTATATTTCTTGGATAGTAAGTCCCCACATTCCTCAATAAGGGCTCTTTCTCCACTAACCACCCGAGCTAGTTCAGAAATTGAGGTATCCACTTCTTCAGCCTGCATTGAAGATGTGCATTTTTAACACAGGCATGCATTTATATCATCTATATAAACACAATACATCTACAATTGTATGACTTCCTTTCACATTTACAGGACCTGCCAACAATTAATAGAAAAAGAAATCAAAATATTCTAAACAGTATGATTTCCTCAACATTTGTGCATTCTATAGCGTGTTTTTAACATAGATATCACGTGAATTTATGGGATAAATGCCTGGCATTTTGTCTCACCTTTGGCATAAGTCTCAGGACATGGGAAACTATCAGTTCCATCACCTTTACAGCTGAGCTCAAAGCCTCCTGCAAGTCTTTCACTTCAACCTGGAAAAGTTACCCCATAGTTTCACAGTTCTTTACATAAATTTAACAAATATGGATAAAATTTATGCGATTAGTTAGCAGAATATGTCTCACCTGGACCTCTCCACTGACTGGAACTCTTAGGGAGGAATTTAATAGAGCATTTGATATGCCTGATAAAGAAGTTAAAAAATCCTCTTCCAAAGCAGACCATGCATCCAGATACGGCATCTAATATAATAGCAAAGTACGTGAGCACCGAAGCCGAAAGAATAAAATTGTAAGAACAACAAAAAGTTCTCCGAACAACCGAAGTTCCTCTTTCAAAGGTGCAAAAACCATTAAGAAGATAACGAATGCAACAAAAATGACAACTCTGTTTTTTCTTTAAGTTTCTTGACCATTTCATGTCTCTTCTTAATGAGGCCATTCGATTTTCTAAAAACGAGTGATAACTGTAATGACCAACATAACAGGGACAAAATAATAGAAAAAATCAAAAGGAATATCAATCATGTTATTTGACATCTGGGATATTCAATTGATGAATGAGTAACAAACCATCTTCCAAATGCAAATGACATGGCTTGTTAAGGTATTGTAAGGATATCTTTTCAACTACACATTCTGCAGTGTTTATACATATAATTGAAAGTTGGCCTATAATTCAATAGTATATCCAGGAAAGCTCTTAAAAGTGAATATCTTTTCATGATTGTCATCTAGAATAGAAACATGCATGTATAAAATATTTCATTTCAAGTCACAACATAAGATGAGCAATAAACTCAAAGCCTGACCAAGCCTTACTTGAGCTTCAACAATCATGGATAAAGTCTTAATTCCTTGCAGCATCCCAAGTTCACTACGCTTCTTTTTCACTTCATCACGTAAATCAGATATCTTGCTTCCCATAGAGTAAAGTTTTATCTGCACATAAATGGGGGGAAAAACATGATTTATAATTCAATATTAGACTATTAAAAAGAGCAAGTCCTTTATCCATGCTGTTTCTTGTAATGCAAATTAAAGAGACATTTTGAAGAAGAGTGATGGATTATAGGACTAAAATGAGGGAATAATCAGAATTATAATACAGATATCCTAGAATTTCAAAGGAGAATGGAGATAAACCTCAGCATCCCTTTTTTGAGTATTGACAGTTGCCTCTGCTTTTGCATTGGCTAATCGCCACTGCAGATAATGGTTGTAAAGCATCTTGAGAGAATGCACATCTTCTTGATGATTAGAGACCTTCCTTCCTTTCCTTGCGTCCATTCCCAGTCTCACACACGATGCTGGATGAGGAGGCAGGCAAAGACTTCCGCCCATCTTTACAGACGATGAAAAATTCAGTGAGCGAGCACAATCACTAGTGACTTTACCCTCATTGTTAGAACTCCTCTCAGCAAGCCATTTATCCACATCTGACACAGAAGAGCGCGTCTCAGGAAGACTCCGGGTCGCCTTGCTAGTCTGCATAAACAGTGGAGAACTGGGGCACGAAGAACTACCTTGGCTACTAGCAGTACTGCAAGAATCCGAATCGTCATATCTAGATGTTGAAATTCTAGAAAGCTTTTTGTCCACAGTTTCTCTGTAATTGTTGCTACCAGAAGTCGCTTCTTGCAATAGCCTAGTGGCCGCCGTAACGGCCGTGCATCCATTAATACTAATATTCATCGGATTGCCACGATTACCACTATGGGGAGTTTGCCTATACCGCGATGGGACAACCCGATCGGTACCAATCGCAATCGGCGTGTCCGGCCTCGAAGAAATTCTAACAACCGATGCCGCTTGCTGCTGTTGATTTTGTTCACCATTTTCCTTAAAATGCCTAAATCGTTGCTGTTGCTGCTGTTTCTTTTGAACAGTAGCTACACTATTTGTTGCTAACGATCTATTGTGTGATACCGTCTGGGGTGGAACGAGCAGGGTGTCTAGGCTTCGAGTGGTTTCCGGTACTTGATTCTCGTCGCGTGATAATTGCCTGCGGTGGACTGATTTTGATCGCGAATTTTCAGAAGGTGTAGGGGTTGGGGTTGCGTTGGAATGAATCAAAGGTGACATGAATCGCGAACTGACTTCCCGCACCCTTGGCCGCCGTTGGGGTAGCGACGGAACTCCAACTTCCGCCGATGCTTCGGCTGCACTTCCGGCAGTCGATTCGGTCATTTCTCTTCAACTTTGCCGGATTTCGAGGGGAAGATTACTCCAACGCCAACAAAGATTAACGATAAAAAATTTGTAGCGATCGGATTCGAAATGCCGACGGGAGAAATGGAGAAGGGGGCAGGGGATTTTCGTGTAAAGGAAAGGTTGAAAAACTAGCCGTTATGGGTTTAGAATTGTATATATATACGAGGATGGGGACGTTAACGGATCTTTTTCTCGGGTGGGCAGTGATGTGGGTAAGACTGGAGATTACATCCGGGACCGGGTTAATTATGTGGTTAACGGATATACTGCTTTTAAATGTAATATTAATAGGCACCTTTGAACTTTTACCTCTCAAACTTTGTAAAATATAACAAAGTTATCCTCAATTATTTTTCAAAAATAAATCTCCCTTGAAACAATTAAATATTTATTAACACATAAAAAAAATTAAAAAAAAATTTGATTTTAGAAATTTTATCTCTTCCAACCAAGTTCACCCGCACACGCTGTCAACACCCGATTTTCTCTAAATACCCAATTAGAGGCAGCGATATGGAGCTAATTTGCCTAGAAGATGGAGCTGACCAAGTACTACATATCGACAAGGAGATGGGAATATTTTGTTAATAGTATTACTATCTAGCATTTCATTTTCCTTCACTCAGGTTCATGTCGTAGCCGAGTCTCATTAGAGTCGCCCTGTCAAGTCAACGAGTTCGGCTATACACGTGAGGGCGTGTAAGACAAAATTAAACATCTTGCATTGCATTATTCATCTTATTCTTTCAAGCCTTAATGCAAAAGTTAAAAGCAAAGGACGAAACGAATGAGAATAGTTAATTTGGCTCAAAGTGAAGCAAAATCAGGAATGACGTAACATATTGAACATGTACAGCCACTCGATAAATCTCATTTGCCAGTACAGAGCACTTCACACACCATGTGCAGAAACTAGGTTGTTCTGATTGAAATAGATCAACCTATTTTGACTTCCTGTTTCCATACTAAATCATAGAGCCAGCGATCGTATAGAGGTATGCTCCTAAAGACGAAGATGTTCACATATTATGGCAAATTGGTGGTACATAAGACAATTCAATCAATGATTAGTTGGGAGTTCAGTCATGGCTTCAAAAATTCCCTCTTCTGGGGTCGTGAAAAAGCTCATCTGCAAAGCATCAAACGAGCCTTTGATGAAAAGACCAGTTATGAAAATATTAGGTAATCTATGATTTGCAAGAATAATATAACCGATGGTCACCCGCTCACTTGCAACGTGCTGTGAGGGCACAAGTTCTTCGATAGTCAAATGTCCATATTTATTAATGATTAGTCATATCATGAATTTCATTTTGTGGCGTATTAACTAGGACAGCTATAGTCTAGGCTCTATCTTACCATTCTCATCGTCCTCTCCACTTTGAGTTGTAAAGAACGGAGTGAGGTAGTTCCTATCTAGTGCTGTAAATGACGTGGTGCTGCAGGAAAGAACCCAGAACTTTAAATTAAAGAACTTGAATATGAATTTATGTAATAGTCCAACAACATACAGCGTTTATGGTACCTTTTGTGAAATTCTTTAAGTCTCATCTTGAATCTGTTCCCAGATGATGATTCTTCTCCTTCATATGAAGGAACTACATAGCCATTGTTCCCCTCAAACCTCTGGAACCAGTAAAGAAAACAAATTTGGTTTGTCAAATTAAAAATAATAATTTTTTACAGGATAACTTCAACACCAGTAAAATTACTTCCCAAGGGATCAGGGATAAAGGTCATCTTTTTTGTTGTTAGTTGGGTAGGACCCACACAATTTATAGGAAGCAGTAAATTATATAAACTGATTCACCAATGCATCATCACCGGACTGCAGGCAGGTGGGCTATAAGATTATCTACTAATGAACTTACTTCACTCAATGAGTTGTCATGACCATCACCGACAACTTGTAAAGCTTCTAGCATGGTACCTGTTGATCCTCCTATCAGCAAGACCTGCAAAGTGTCCATACTCCTAGACATGTCAGACATCTAAACGAACTTAAGATTGTTCATATATTCTACTATGGGTCTTAGTGGCAACTTGGCCCTGCTCCATTCGGTTTTTGTCAATATGTAATTCTCTTGAATATAATGGCTGTTAGACAAAGAAATATACATGTAGGAAAAATAGCACCACATAATCATCAAATTTCGCTCAGCAATAACAAATACATGAGTAAGAATTTAATGCATAATTTACATTTCAATGCTTGAAGCCTTAAAAATGACATTCATACTGAATCACTAGAGTAACCATCAAGGTATATTCATTTATTATCTGTGAAAAGAACCAGCAATGACAGATATAAGAAACCCAGAAGGCATGACTTACACCATGAACATGGTCATCGAAACCCAGAATCAAATAGGTGAAATCAACGCAAAAACATAATTTATAAGGCTAAGATCCATGGTAAAGTGAAGAGAACTATCATAAAACCCAGTTATGTTTCAATCCTTCAGGAATTTTGATAAAAATTGCAAGACTATTGAATTTTTCAACAGACATCTATGGTGTCCTGAATTAGAAAATTGATAAATGCTTTTTTAATTGATATATAATGCTCTTGAATGAGAGTTTTCATTTATAGGTCCTCCCAAAATTTGTAGTTGATTTAGAACAAATAGTTTACCTACCGTCAAAACAACTATTGCTGTGGTGGCAGTGAAAATAGTTTGACCATGCCCTTCTGGAAGATCATGGACTGATTGCAGCGCAAGAGCAAATGCCATAGCCCCTCGAAGTCCTAATCATGGATGTATGCCATACGTGAGTTTGAACATTAAAGTGTGTGTGTGTGCATGATTTGGGGAAGGACGCAAGGGAAGGCTGATCAAAGAATTAAAGTTTCTTATCCACTGACCACTGTACCAAAGTGCTTTCTGATGTTTCGGTGGTATTTGACGATGCACAGGCCTAAACATATTCACCAAGTAGCCACAAGAAAACACATTTGCAGCTCTTCCAAAAACAAACATAAAAGATATTAGATTTATGCATAATCATTTTAAAACTTCGTCACCCACATCTGATAACAATCAAGCCAAAATTGATAACAATTTCACATGGTCATTAACATCAGCAATAGGATTAGGCAAAAAATACGTACCTAGCAATTCCAATGAACAACTAAGGTAATGATGGAGCAAGTTAAGAAAAATTATTGGTTAACTTCAGTATATCAAGTAAAACAGAATCCATTACATAAAATAAAAAATAAAAATAAAAAAACACCAAGGATACAATTGAGAAAAAGATAAATCCGACATGGGACCAGCTATGCTGTTCCATGGCAATATCAAATCCCATGTATATAAATCTGCATAATAAAGAGAATGAAAGATCAGTGTAGGTGGTTGAAATAGTCCAACGATATTAAAGTGAAATGTTTACTCACACAAATGTCTCAGCCAATGACGATATTAGATGGAAAAATGCAGATACAAATTTTTGAGAATTGTCAGACAAATTTGAATATGAATAGTGCTTCATGACCTGAAACAAAAATTACCCATGTAAACCATGTCGCATTAAATTATCCAATGAAAGATGAGTACCAGGTACAAACCATAGTTCACTTACTATTCCAGTGAACAATATGGATACTATACCGGAGAGACCAAGCCCTTCTGCTAGCATATACCTAAATGAAAATTGAAAATGAAGAAAACAAAGTGAGTGCAAAAAATGGCAGAATTGAGTGAATAAAACAAAATAGCATATCCGAGAAGAATCTTACGAGAAATATGGAAAAAGGACAAACAAACAGCATTCCAAGTTCTGAAGACTGTACATAGTAAAGAATTCAGTAAGTATTTGATATAGATTAGAGACAAGTTGGCAAAATAACTAGATAAAGAATATGAGGTTACTTGTCAATGTCCAAGCCAGCATACTTGAAAAGGTTCTGGGAGTTAAGGAGCAACCAAGTGTCCTATGAACTAAAAATAATATAGTACAATTTGTAACTTGGGAAGAATAAAGGATATCAAAGCAGATGTAAATCCAACTCCAACCCCTGCAGATATAGAAACAATCTATATTAGTGGCCTTGAATATTTTATTTCGAAATTATACCCCACAGCAAAAAAGATATATAATACAGAATGAATTGTACCAGAAATTGCCAAGATCAGCTGTAGCAAGATACATTAAGATAGCAGGCAAAGACTTTAACGTTTGCTTCACTGTACCATTATTTAGGTTTCATCGATATAAAATTCAATTAAATAATTTTTTTCTTCCCTGTTTCCTGAAATAAGTTACAAAATGACACCATTGTAACCCTAACCAAACCTTGGAGTTCTACAAACAGCTTCCATCAACAAGAACATTTGAATCACAGGTGGGACATGCTAACTATTCTTAAAACTTGTAGTCCGAATATTTTATGATTGTCCCTGAATCGTGAATTCATGTCTTTCCAGAGTAGTGAGCAGTCAGTTAAGTATTGAAATTTAACCAGGTATAACTCTACTTTCAGTTTGAAATTTTTTGCTCAGGTTCGCCAATAACTTTTCCCCAAGATATGACGGATATCCTTTGTTGATCAATCAAGCTTTACAATGTTGCTCTTCATGTCCTCTATTCATCCAAACGACCACCCAAAAATAGGGCATGAAAGTAGACAAAGAATATTGACTATTATGGCACAAATTCAAAACAATCTTCAGCTTGGCTATAATGAATGGAAAGTCAACAAGATCACATGATTTCATATCACAAAGAACAAAACAAAAGGTGAGATAAAGTCTCTTTCGCTCAAAATGGACAGCTAGTTTGTACAAACCTGCTGACATTGAGCCAACAAAGGTCTCAAGAAATCTGACAATGATCATGAGAAAATTTTGTCCAGAGGACATATTGCTCCTCACCAATGACATTGTCCTACAAAACAATCAGCAGTATGATAATGATTGCAAGTGGATCTTATTCTCATTAGTGATGGATAACTGCAATTTGACATACCTATACAAGGAAATTGCCATCTTCCAATAGTGAAACATACAAGAAATAGACAGAAATCAATAAATAATATTTACCCAATGAAACATGTCCAGTTTTATGCAAAACGCATCCTCGTGATAAAGATAAAAAACAGTGAACAAAACCAGTAGAAACTTACTGCATCATTTAAAACAGATTCCCCGAATACCAAAGCATAAAGATTCACGTCTGTACCAAGCTCCTACAAAATTCCATAAAAAGTAAGTAATTGGAGATTATTCTATGATGCAAGGTATTTGGTAAATCCTTAGTCTTAGATAAGAACAGAAAAAGTAAACGCTGGGACCTATTCTTGACTATAAAATAAGATCATTAATTTAATCAGCATTAACAGAGCTTGGACTGGTCCAGACCACACAATCTTGAAAGATTTTTGTTTTTCTATTTAGCATTTACTTTAGGAGGCCGGACCGCACGTACAAGTCCTATGTTCCCTTTTTTCATATATTGCCGATACCCAGGACGTGCTAGTCTGGCAATAAGTTCACAAGTTCTTAACTTCCAACCAACATCTGTTGCAATGCAAGTGAAAGCATTGGTCTAGCACTTATAATTCCAATCCAAAAAGGTAATAAATGGGATCTGTGTCAAGCTTCTTTGAGCAAGAGCAAATTAACTCTTTCAAAGCTCTGAAAGTGTTGCTAAATGTACAGAAACTTCAAAACAGCAAGATTGAGATTAACTTCAGCTTCTTGAAATCTTAAGAAGTCTCTAAATCTCTTATAGAATGACTCAACTCTTGAACTTCGAAGTATTTACTAAAGCAGACAATGAAACCCAAATACATTTCAATTTAGGATGAGTCATCTACCCCCGAAATTTTCCATTTTACAAATATTGATAACAGTGACAGCTCCTTGAATTTAATATAAATAATGTGAGAAAGTTCTAATTAACCAAGTGAACCAAGTTGTATTTAGATAAGTCCAATGACCTTGTTCGCCTAAATGAAGTATAAAAATATTAGAAAACTGAAACCTACTTCTATAGTAAAACTAACATTTAAACAATCTCGATGTTAAAAGACTGTCATTACTGTTCAGACTGTCACTACTGCTCAATGGATGAGTAGATAAGAATTCAATTTTCCTTCTAGGAAAGCTACAGTATCACAACTTCATAAAATAATGTAAACATGACAAGGAAAATGCAATTCCACAACGCATTAGAAGCAAGAGACTATGAAGAAAATAGTCTAATGAGTATCATCTAGTTAACAATTGCATCCGTATGCATGCAATTCATTTTAGATTAAAAAATTGGGTCGCTGAAAAACAGTTTAGACTCATCGTAACAGCCAATGAAATTTCACATGACAAATATAATGTCTTGCATCGGTCTAAATTTAATTTGTTTCTCATCACGTAAATTATTTCTGCATGATTATGTAGTCAATATTTAATAAATAAAATGGCAAACTGATGTTGAAGAAAATATTACATACTGCATTACTATCTAGTATAGATCACCTGAAATATAGACAAAACAGTGACAGGATCAGTAGCTGATATGAGAGCACCGAACATCAGACATTCGACAAATGGAAGTTTGTACATGAGAAACATCACGCCACCAAGGTAACTGCAAGTACAGGCATTAAATCATATCGGAAACATGCCATCAAGGACATATATAATTCACAAAAATGTAAAACTTATAAGACGACTTGAAAAGCCTGATCAGAAATGATACTCACACCAATATGCCAGTGACAACAGAAGCAATAAAAGTTCCCAGAATTGCAAAAGTGATAATGGCGCCAAAGTTTGAAAAGAATGGTTTCTGCAAATTGCATCCGTAATGATCATGTTAGACTGGGAAATTATCTAGAGGAATGGAAATGACAGCATTGAAGGTCATATTGAGTTCCTGTTAGGATCTTAAAAAAATGTACAGGTTTTTTAGAAAAGTAAGCTTCGTCTTAAGGGTTGCAGAGAAGGGAAAGAAGACTTAAAGTTCAATCTGGACTATTGACAAACCACTCAGTTTTTGTTTTCCTCTCTATTTGCTTGATAGCACTGCAACATTCACACATAAAGTAGTTGACTGTTAGTTCACCATATGCTTACTCTAGCTCTAACAATATCTGAGTACCATGGAGCAACCCACCATAGCATTACTCTCGCATTACCACACAATCTTGCTCTCCAACTGGTCTAATTTTTCCATGGGTATCATGTCCCATTGCAAAGTAAATTATTTTGTTATTCGTTTCCTCGAATTTCATTAAAATTGCTAATTCGAATAAAATTGCTAATTCGAAAAACGGAGCCTAAATTGAAGTCCAGAGATAAGAGTCAACTTACAGGTTGTAGACTGAATCCTGACTGAGTAAGCACAAAAATCGTCAAGGAACAAGCTTCTTCTTGTCAATCATAAGCAACAGAACAGAAAAGGAAAGCAGTAACATCTTGCTAAGAACTATTTTAATAAAAAATAAAATAAAATAAAATAAAAATAGAAGAAAGATTATTGACGCAAGGATATAATATGATCGGTGGCAACAAAAACAACAAGAAAAATTCCTCGTGGAAGTTAAACCATGCCCTGCCCAACCAAAAATGAATTAAAGAGAGTTACTTACATTTCGAACTCAAAATGCAGTTCATCACCAAAAAATGAAAAGAAAAGGGAATCAACAAACACCATAAAAATACCTAATATTAGTTTCTGTATTGGAGATATTAGCCAGCCCGCCAACAATCAAACCTGCATCCACATATACGAATCAAATTACAGTAAAATGCAATAGCGCAATCAAATTAAAACTGAAAATGAGTGACATTGAACTAGTGTATATGAAATAAATTTACCGATCAAAAGAGAAGCACTTGCTTCGGGGAGGTAATAGAACCGGTGACGGCGAAGGACGTGGCCGAGGACAAAGGAGAGAACAAGCATCATGATCTGGAGAAGAATACCAACTCCTGCAGCCTGCTGTTCCTTCCCCGGACTCCCCCGCGGCTCGGTAGGAGATATCTGCAATGCTTCCATCCCCCGGGCCTGAAAATTCAACAAACAATCTTCTGTATTTTTGGCTTAATCAATTTGATACCTGTTAATTCAACAAACAAAATGCACAATTTTGAAGTTTTGGAGATTTTAGTTTAGAATTTGACTAATCTCCGCTTTCACGCCTCTGTCCTTTTGGCTTCTCTTTTCTACATGCCTTTTCTACGCTTTGCATTCGTTAGTCAAAATGAAAATTGACGGTAATATTTATTAATAAAAAATCATAAATGTCTGTGTTTTAACTTAAGAATTCATAAAGGACTATTTTGTCCTTATCTAAAAATACCTTAGACCTGTTTGGTATTGATTCTTAGAATCAATTTTTTGACAGATGGAGAGAAAAATTGGTCCCATCTATAGTGAAAAAGTCAAAAATGACGGTGATCATGTTAAGTAATGGTTAAAATTTTGATTTATTGGATTGAAAAATTAAAACCAAACAGGCTTAGTTTAATATTGGTTGAAGCATATACGGTAATACTATGTGTACATAACTATTTACACATATCTTACACTCTCGTCACATGGAAGAGGGCCCACACACAACAAAATATGCATGGAGCCCTTTTCATTTCAGGGGATGTAAGACTGTGTGTCCATATTTTGGTCAAAGATGTCGAAAAAGATGAATAAATTAAGAATACTTTTACATAAAATGTATACATAATGAATTACATAATATGATTTGGAGGAAAAATATTGAACGAAAAAATTGATTATGTTTTAAACTGGCAAAATAATAAATTGTCACATGTATATCTTTATTTACATGTAGCAATATCCATAAATTAATTTGTATTTAAGCTCTTAATTACATGAAAATAAATTCTTAGAATAATGCTATTTAACTATAAATGCAATTGCAATCCTAAAGCGTGTATTAAATGATCTATTTAATAAAATGACTCATTTAATTTTACTTTCATTTAACTATCATTTATCGTCGCCTAGAACATAGTATTATTCAAAATTTTAAACTTTTTCGAACAAGCTGAGAACGAACCAAGTGCTAGTATTTCATGGATTTTTATCTTATTCAAAAAATTGGACTAATAATTTACTTGTTCAATTAATTTATTTACTTATGAAAGAAAAAGCAGAGATTTTGTCTTAGTAGTCAATTAACATAGTTTAGACACCTTATTTCGGGTTTGTTTGATAAAGATTTATTGAAAAATATGATTCTTTGAATTTTTATTTTATTTTGTGAATATTTGGTTAAAAAATAGAGAAAAATAATACGAAAACGTACAAAAATTATTTTTTTTAAAATATGATTAAAAATGAGTGTGACTGATAAGTAATTCTCAACTAAGGTCATGTTTGATAGACTTATATTTTCCATAGAAAATGAAAAATAAATTCCATTTTCCATCTTTTATGTGTTTGATGGCACGAATTTGACATGGAATTCCTTTTCCATCTTTTGTTGCCACATAAGCAAATTCTACCAAATTGTGGAATTTCAATTCTCACCAAAATGGTGGGAATTGAAATTCCACCTTTTGACGTATTTTTTATTTTTTTTATTTTGCAATTAAAATAAATTTTAAGAATTATTGTAATAAATTTCATCTTTTTAATTGACAATTTTCATGTAAAACAAATTCAAACGAATATCAAAAGATAAATAATTTTCTTTAATTTTATTATTTGCAATGGAAACAAATTTAATTCTCAATACCAGTAAAATCTATCCATTTAATTGACAATTTTCATGTAAAACAAAACCGAACAAACCTCAAAAGACACTTTCATTTCAACATTTTCCACGTGAAAAATTATACCAATCAAACACAATAATTTACAATTCTCAGGAAAATAATTTCTAAGCAATTCAATTCCCTGGAATTCGTTTTCAATTCAATTCAATTCTATCTTTGCAATCAAACGGACCCTAATTGAAATTAAACAAAAGTTTCTTCTTATATTTAAAAGGGCCTTCTAAGAAGGATGGGGGTTGAACATGTGTTTTATATTTCAAATTTGGGACAAAATTAAGAAATAAACTAACCCATTAGATACGTCCAATATTACTAATTCACTTCCCATCATATTCACTCTCTATCTTCTCACTCCAGTGCCAACAATAGGATAGGCGCCGATAAGAGGATCGATGCCATTGCACGAGAGTGGTGTCGACTATGAGGACCTTTGCCCAAGAATACCGCAACTGCAAAGACCTCTGCCTTAGGTGCGTCGAGCGACCTTTGCCCAATCCCGAAAAACATCGTCGGAAGAAATGACATCAACGAAATACATCGTGTTGCGGTACTATGACGTCGCTACATCCGTGACACTGTGCCGAAAGAAGAGATGACGTCGTTGTGCTTCAGTCGATTGGATCTCGTTTTGGACATATGCAATGATGTTGCTGCCATTACAGTTGATGCAATCTAATTTTTTATTAGTCTATGTAGTGATTTTGTTGACAGTGTTTGCAGTTGTTGGTTGTGATGTTGAGTTGGTGGTGATATTGGCTTCGTTCTAGTTTTGGGCTATGGTTCGAGAAACAGGTATTGGTGGAAGAGGAAAGGGAGGAGGCGGAGTTGGTGTAATGTTGGTGGTTGTCGTGGTGCGATGTTGTTGGTGGTCGTGGCGGTGATTGATAAATTTGGATTTGATTTTTTTGGTGGTGTTTGGGTGGTCGGTAGTGGTGGGTTGTTGGGGCTGTGTATGTGTCCATGTTGCTGACAGTAGGACTGTGTTAGTGATGGTAGTGCTATTAGATTGTGTTGGTGGTGGTGATCGCAAGTGACCGCGGTGGTGTTGGCAATTGTGGTAGTGACTGTGGTACGTGACCAACTGTTTAGTTAATCTATGACCAATTCGTGACCAACAAATCTGAAGATCTGTGGCCGAAAAATAAAATGTGACCTATAAATTTTTTAATTTGTGACCGATGAAATAAATTGTGATTTATCAAATTTTTTTATTGTGGTCATAAAATATTATGTGACAATTAATTTGATAATATGTGATTAATAAATAAGTTATGAACTATAAGTACTCACTTATGACAATTAATTATATAATTGTGACCTTACTATATTTAATTAATAAAATATTTTCAATTAATCAATAATACATGAGTTACGAATTATGAAACTTAAAACCTTAAATTTAAATTATTCCATACTTAATGCCCAACTTTTGAATTTTTTATAGATTCCACATAAATGTAGCATAGATTGTGTTAGTCCTTCATCTAGGCAGGTGGTGTGGTAAGCCTCTCCTGTCACTTTATATTAGCCCATGTCGATTAGTAGCCAGTTGGCAAATCATTATTATTAAAAAAATAATAATAATAAAAAATTGAATGGTGATTTTTAAAAAAATGTGTGGTTAAAATTTAGGAAAATATTTTTGATATACATGTAGAATATTTTATTGTGTGAATGTGATTTAAAATGATTCTTCGTGCCAAATCATAAAATAAATTAATGTGCCAAACAGACCCTAAATCTTCTACAAGCTAATGGACGAAAGCTAATTCATCTTGAAAATCGCACAAATTCACTCTTTTTCCTCATCATTGATGGAGTCGACAGGATTTTACGATTCGTTGTTGTCTACATTTTTCGGCATGTTAGATTTGAAATTTTTGAGGCTCAAAGGGGTATTTTTAAAAATGGAATAGTCAAAGAAGGGAAATTCCACTTTAACTTGTTCAATTCTTAAAATTATGACAATGGCCTATTGAGTGTTAAAAGACAAAAATATCCTTAAGTGTATTATACAATTACAAAAGTAGGTTTTGTTTAAAAGACATTACTATCCTTTTGTTAACAAATAAAAATCAAACACTTCCCACTTAAAATATCAAAATTAGCAAACTTCTCATATTTGTTTACTCCAACACAGATAAAAACACTTTCATTTTTTACCTGCTTCAACCTCAAGATTTGAAAAATTCATCGAACACGGTAGCTGAATTTTTTTTATATCAATCTCATCATATCAGTAAGTTTATAATACACACATTTAATTTTGTTTTAGTTAAATTACTTTACGTTTGCATAGATAAAATTTATTTCGACATATAATATTAATGTAGATAGTTTTATTAATAGATCTGTGAAAAATTTTAAGCATTTGACGAGAAAAAATTCATCTGTATTAATACTGAAAAATTAATCTGCAAAAGTTTGGTGTGTTTATTCTGTCAGACAGCGAGTTTGAACTGTCGACTATCCAGTTAACAGTTGAAAAAATCAGGCTAGACAGCTGAACTATTTAACAACCGACTGTACAGCCGGATGGACAGTCAGCTAGTTCGATTGGCTGTTTCTTAACAACCGGCTAGTTATTTTTTTTATTTCATTCGATAATTTCTTGTAATTAAAAATTCTTTTTCTTCATGCAGATATGGTTATAGTCCCAATTTTTGTTACTTTGATAATTCCGAATTGGACAAAAGAGATCAATGGGTATGGAAATAGACGAGTGATAAGCGTGGTGGTATCCCAATTTTCATAACAGTAACAACAACGTATGTAGCAAAACAAACTAAATGTCGATCTCTCTCTGTATGATATGGAATTGAAATTTAAATTCTACGATTAGGAAGTTCCGAGTCCACCTATAACGATTTCTTTTGATGTCGAAATGAATTATCTGTTTGAAATGAACAATAGGCACTCGACTCCTATTTGCTTGACTTTAGTGACGAAGGATGTCGTCGAAGATGAACAAGTAGACTTCAATGGAGGGGATCACAATGCTAATGATTTTTGGGATATGGTCCAAACAGCTCGTGAAGATGATGCGGTTATTCTAGGGACAGTTACTCACAGAATTCCATCCGTAGTTCACGACAATGAGTGTGAAAATGCAAATACTTTTACATACGAGGATTTGATCGCTTTATCCCGACAGAGACATGAGCGAGGTAGGACCTCAGGGGTTGGATCGAGTGGACCGTCCTCTAACTCCTTCCGTGTGGTTCCCAATAGTGAGAATTTGTATGTTGAACAACTATTTGAAACGAAAAAAATTTGTAGGAAGCTGTGCACCTAATTGCGCCGAAATATAACTTTGAGTTCAAAGTGAAAAAAATCGAACAAGTCGTTGTTGACAATTGCCAGCGTAGACGAAAGTTGTTGTTGGCGTTTGCGAGCGACGAAGATGAATAAGAATGAGTGTTTTGTAGTTCGCAAGTACACACGGGAATATACT